TTAGTTCTGTGATTATAAAAATATTGCTTATCACCACTGCTACTGCATATTATAGATTCAATAATACTTCAATAATACCTATTACTGATACTTGTTTCCCTTGATTAAAAATACTGGATGTTTATATATATATATATATATATATATATATATATGTTATATATACATATAATTATAATATATATCATAATATTATATAGAAAATAATACAGGCTTGTGATTTAGACAAACAGGGGGAAAAAAAGCTTATATAATGAAAAAAACTTTATCCCATTTTATAATGCTTTCCCAGATATAATAATAGTCTCTGGTCCAAAAATTTTTCTTGAATATAACCCTATGTATTTTGTATTTACACACTAATCATTCTTCTCGACACCTTATTTAACCTAACATACCTTAGAAATATCTACCCAGCAGTATGTATAGATCCATGTCATTCTTTATAAATTAATATTCTATTGCATGGATATAGCACAATTTATTACAAACCCCTTCCTGACAGATGTTTAGTTTCCAGTTTTTCTCTACAACAAACAAGGATTCGGTGACATTCTTGTACAAATATCTTCACATACATGAACAAGTATGCTGTACAATAAATTCTTAGAATTGTTGAGTCAGTGTGTATACACTTTTAAAATATGATATTACCAAACTGCCTTCCAAAGTATTTGTACCAATTAACACTCCAGGGGAGCATTTCTGATCAAAACAGATTTTGAAAAGCAAACTGCAATGCGGTTAGTGGCCAGAGAGGGGCCGCAGGGGAGTGAAGCAGGCTGGGCAAGGAAGCGGCAAGCTGACAGCCTCCTCAGTCACTGAGGGAAGCACCTTCTCCTCCCGCACAGCCTATAACAATGCCTTCTAGGAGCCTATGTTCAATGTTAGATGGTCTGATTTCTTAAAAGCCAAAACTCTAGACTTCTGCATGAATTCTCCAGATTTTTTTAAATGTTGACAACTCATTAGAATTTTAGAATGGGCATGACTAACAAAACACGTCTGAGTGAGAATGCTGGCATACAACCTTGGAAGCTCCCCGGTAAAATCCGAAACCAGCCCACTTACACAGAGAGCATGAAGACAGAAGAAAGAGCCGGTCCACTCCAGATTGGTAGGTGGCAGTTTTAATAAGCACATACTAGTTCTGAGGCTTGTCTTGGGTAGTTACAAGATGAGTAGATTTTTTTTTTAATGTAGTGATTTTGAGAGGAGGGAGAAACATCAATTCTTTGTTCCACCTATATATGCACTCGTTGGTTGCTTCTTGTATGTGCTCTGACTGGAGATCCAACCTGCAACCTTGGCATACAGGAATGATACTCTAACCAACTGAGCTACCTGGCCGAGGCAAGACCGGGAGATCTTTGCACCCACCTGCCAAATTCTAAAAGTTTATGTAGAGGCCTTAACTGGGCTCAGTCATATATACCTTACAGATGGTCTTAACCCGTTGATCTCTCAAGACTATCATGTCTTTGAAAATGACTCCAGTCTACGGCCATACCACCCTGAACGCGCCCGATCTCGTCTGATCTCAGAAGCTAAGCAGGGTCGGGCCTGGTTAGTACTTGGATGGGAGAAAATGACTCCAACTATGGGAATGGCGGGTAGAGTGACGGGAAGGGGTTGAGGAGCCTCTGATTAACCAGGTCCCATTCTAAGGTCACCTGGTGGTTGAGTCCTCTCGAATACTTCCTCCAACAGGGAATCACCTGTTGTACCGCGAACTTGTAACCTTCGCTTTAAAACTCATCCCCCCACTCCCCACCGCGTGGCAATGGGCTGTATTCGATACACTGTTTTAAACTGGGATTTCCTTAGATTACATTACATTTTGTTTCTTGATGAACTAGATGGATTTTATTAACTACATGGTCACTGTCCACTCAAACTATTTGAATAATTTAACTCATGCCCAGAGGTTTCCATTAATCAGTTCCCTACAATATGCTCCCTGGACTTATATTTTTATTACTTAAGAGTGCTGTTTCTGTTTTCTCCCTTATATGGAACTACCACATGTTTTAAGACTTAAGTCATTTTCCTATTACTGTAATCTTCTTTTACCCAGAGGGAAAGAAAATCTCTAATGATTTTTCTATGCTACCTTCCATTCAACATAATCATCTGGTTATATAAAAAATTGTGGAATTAAAAAGACTTGCTGCCACTAATTTAAATAGTATTTTTAATTCACATAAAATCTTTTTATATTAACTACATTCTTACTGTTTAAAAAATAAAGACAGTGTAAAAGAATAAACCCTGAAATTGCCAAATTTGTGTAAAAAATAATCATATTCATGGATAAAATACAATGAGATTTTTAATGTTTTATTACTTCTCATACAAAAATACTTGCAAAAGGGCCAATCCGACAAAGGCAATGAACTGCATAATTATAAACGGAAATTTAGAGACAGACTCATAGGTAGAAAGCAAGCTGACAGCTGTCAGGAGGGGTGTCGCTGGGTAGGGGGAGCGGAGGGATTGAGCAAAAAAAGAAAATGTCATGGACACAAGCAACAGTGTGTTGCCAGGGGGAGGGGTAGAGGATGGGATCGGGGGATAAATGGTGATGGACAGAGACTTGACTTGGAGTGATGAACACACAATACAGTGTACAGATGATGTGTTGTGGAACTGTGCACATGAAACTTGTATAACTTTTTATCAGTGTCACCCCAATAAATTCAATAAAAAAGAAAATAAACTTTGTAGCATAAAACAAAAATAACAGAAATTAATATTTGTAAACTTTAAAATTATAAGCAATGAGCCCTGGCCAGTTTGGTTCAGCAGTTAGAGCATCGGCCCGTGGTCCCGAGAGACCCGGGTTCGGTTCCCGCTAAGGGCATGTACCTCGGTTGCAGTTTGTCCCAGGCCCTGGTTGGTCGTGCGGGTGGCAGCCACTCGATGTGTCCCTTTCACGCCGATGTTTCTCTCTCTCTCTCTGTTCTTCTCTCTCCCTCCCACTCTACCTGAACAAAAAATGGAAAAATGTCCTCAGGTGAGGATAAAAAAAAAAAATTATAAGCAATGAAATATTAGTCAGTTACTTATTTGAAAAGACAGAAGTCATTGCCTCTTCTACAATTAAATTTTGAAAATCAAAATTTTAAATTAGCTTCACCCTGGCCGGTTTGGCTCCGTGGTTTGGAGCCTCTGCCCAAAGAGTCTCGGATTTGATTCTGGTCAAGGGCACATACCTCGGTTGCGATTCGGACCCTGGCCCTGGTCAGGGTTATGTGTCTCTCTCACATCAATGTTTCTCTCCTCTCCGTGTCTCTCTCTCTCTCTCTGCCCCTCATGCTCTATCTGAAGATAAACAGAAAAATATCCTAGGGTGAGGAGTAAAAAAAAAGAAAAATGATTAACTTCATTTATTATAAATAAAGCATAAGACTTAATTTTAGAGCTAATAGTTATTTTTAATGTTTTGGTTAATCCTCACCTGAGGATATTTTTCCATTGATTTTTAGACAGAGTGGGACGGAGGGATGGAAAGAGAAAGAAAAACATCGATGTGAGAGAGACATGCCAATTGGTTGCCTCACACACAACCCTGACAGGGCTGGGCACTGAACCTGCAACCCAGATACATGCCCTTGACTGGGAATTGAACCTGAGACCCTTTGGTCCACAGGCAGACGCTCTAACCAATGAGCCAAACTGGACAAAGCAATAGTAATTTTTAAAGTATTCCTAGTATGGCCCTGGCCGGTTTGGCTCAGCGGTTGGAGCGTCGGCCTGCGATACAGAGAGACCCAGGTTCGGTTCCCGCTAGGGGCACGTACCTCGGTTGTGGTTTGTCCCCGGCCCTGGTTGGTCGTGCGGGTGGCAGCCACTCGATGTGTCCCTTCACGTCGATGTTTCTCTCTCTCTCTTCCTCTCTCTCCCTCCCGCTCTATCTGAACAATAAATGGTGAGGATAAAAAAAATAAAGGATTCCTAGTATGTCCAGCCGGTGTGGCTCAGTGTCGACCCATGCACCAAGAGGTCGCCGGTTCAATTCCCGAGACAGGACACATGCCCAGGTTGTGGGCCCAGTCCCCAGTGTGGGGCATGCAGGAGGCGGCCAATTGATGTTCTCTCTCATCAACGTTTCTCTCTCTCCCTCTCCCTTCCTCTCTCTAAAATCATTAAAGGAAAATAAATAAATAAAGGATCCCTAGTTTACAATGTCATCTGTTGAGATGTTTTAATATTAAAAAACACACACAATAACAAAAGAGATCCCCCCCCAAAAAAACAAAAACACACATTAGAGAAGGTTTATAACTTAGCAAAGCTTTCAATGCATATGTCTCCATACATATATACACAATATATGCTTGTCATGACATATACATTGTATTTGTCAGTGACAAATATATGGACTGCTCACATGAGAAAATGTGCACAGATATGCCATTGGGTAGTCTGCTTTTAGTTTCCAGATGCAACGCCCTAAACATTCAACTCCTCCACTAACATTTCTAAATATGTGCATGTTCCTACTTCCCCTCAAAAGGTATGCTATAACTAACTACTCAAGTATCTGTTCAAAATAAAAACTGATTAGATCACTCTAAAATTTGAAAGCTAATGCTCTGTATTAGGCAGATTTCACTGGAACTCAATATTTTAATCATAAAAAAACAAACTTAAAAGAAAATTACATATTTAAATTGTAATCTGCACATCAGATTACTGCTTTAAATGTGTCATCAAAATCCACAGATAAAAAAAAAAAAAAAAATGTTAATATAGTTTAGTTTTACCTAGAATATAAATTAAGGCATAAGAAAAACTTTAAGACCACAATATAAATTGACCACTAAAAAATGCAAATAATTCATACAATATAGTATAAGCTTTAATATATAAATTAGATATCTTTCATCAGCTGTTAGTCACATCAGTCTAAACTTTACATTATATAGTAAAATATTACAAAGCTAAAAAACATCATTGCAATATAGATTCAATATGGGAAAATACATATTTGTGGCTTTATACAATCTCAATTAATCCATTCTATACAATAGTTTTCCAAAATATAAACGGCACTTTACATGCAATAGAACATACCAGGTTGGATGTCCCAATATATTTTAATATACAGAAAAGTAAAGAGAAAACACCCTTTTAACAAGACAGTGACACAGCAGAGGTGGAATGTAGAAAACAATCTTGGATAAGATTCAAGAAATAACAATAAGGACAGTTTCTATTCCTTTCAATTAGCTTTCTTTAAATGAAGACTACTGTGATTTTATATTTTCTAAGATCTGAGAAAACAAAAGGGAAAAGGGGTGGGGGAGAAAACCTGATCCTTGAATTTTAAACATCAGTCCTGCCTATGGGACGTGTTTGGGATGCTCTTCTGTTGACAGTTTCCAAAATTACTTCTGCCACTCTGAACTGTGCGCACCAGTCGTCAGATGAACTTTCCGAACTTCATTATGCCATTGTGTAACCATAGCTGCCACAATGTAGTGCCACAAGAAGTCTGTCCTTGAGTATTTCTTTACTTGGGTATTCAGGTAACTTGAGCATGTTGATGCTTTAAAAGAAAAATATACCACCATTAAAAAGGAAATCTGAAATTTCTGACTGTTTTGTCTAGCAGTGAAAACTACAAAAATTAACATAAAACCACCTTCTTAAATTTGCATTCAAATTGGAAAACCCTAGAGTAGTATTTAAAAAGTAAAAACAAAAACAAAAAAGACCCTGCTGCATTGCCATTTTCTTTAGCCTGCAAATGTAGTGGAAGAAAATAAGTTCCTTCCAGCCAAAAATAAATAAGCAAGAGCAATTTAGTTTGAAATGATGGTGTAACTTAATGATACTATGACAATTTAACTTTAGTGACAGTTGAACTATATTCAATTAAATTATAGGTGGTTTCCTCAAACATATTCCCTACCAAAAAAGGGGGAAGCAAAGAACTATGTAGCTATTTATCAGATCACTGTTGAGGTTTTCTTCTCCTTGTTGCAATACAGTAGTTAGACTTTTGATCATTCAAATTTAATCAAAACTTCAAAATGCATTTAAATAAAAAACTTAACATACCATGTGCTTGAAGTTGGCAGAAGATTCGGAGTATATGGCACAGCAGCGATGGTAAAGTTTTGCAACCCACTTCCACCCATGATATTAGCAAATCCACCATGTGGGACCCTGGAACTAATAGTTCATATCTTAGTAAATTGTAATCATGAAAAAAAAATCTTTTTTATAGACATATTTCAAACTCTAAGTTAGAGTAAGAATATATTCAATTCTAGGTCACTGACAAAACATTTTTGAATTTCCAACACTCCAACTTAATACTAAAAGTCACCGAATGGCCCAGTTAGCCAGCTTCCATGGAGATACCCCTTCACATTTCTAGAAACTATACTACGCTTTCAACTGGCCACAGTACATAGCTCTACTATTGCATTTAGCATAACACACATACAGTTATTTTCTTTCAAGTGTGTCCCTACTGAACTGGGACTGACTTGAGGGCCCAAGCATGTTATATTTGTATCTGTATCCCTGGGGTTAGCAAAATGACTGGCATCTAGTAGACATTCATTAAATATTTGCTGAATAAGTGTTTGCTTGATTGATTAAAGCAACAGAGGCTCTCACATGTAATCCAAATATTTCCTATCTAAAAAATATCTGGGGTCAAAAAAATTTTTTGTTTTTCACAGTAGAAAAACCAGAAAATTATTTACATTTCTCTTTGCAGAGATTCATAATATCAGATTTTTTTAAAATGTCACCTAACATATTGAAACCACAGGAAGGCTAACACAATACATAAACACCACCAGAAAAGTTAATCTTGGGTACATGGCTACAGAGGGTGTAATTACAACTTCTAAAAGTCTATTGTTTGCATTTGAAAGAAAATTAGTATTTCAAATTAGCCCTTGTATATATCATGATTAAACAAACTGATTCTGGAATAAATTTTGTTGTTTTTAAAATGAGATGCTGTAGTGCTTTTTGGATAAATTAAAATAATGATAAACATTTAACGTATAGCTATCAATGCATACACAAAGGCAGCAGACTGTCTAATATTAAAAATGTTTTCAAACACTATTCATAGTACAAAGCATAATCCAGTTCATTTTAAAAGCTGTTGAAAGGTGAATAACCAAAACAGTCTTGAAAAAGAACAAGATCAGAGGGCTCACAGTTCCTGATTTCAAAACTTCACCTACAAGGCTACAATAATCAAAACAGTGTGGCACTGGTATAAAGAAAGACAATACAAACCAATGGAATAGAATAGAGAACCCCAAAATAAACCCTCAAAGGTATGACCAAATGATTTTCAATGTGTGCTAAGAACATTCACTGAGGAAAAGTCAGTCTTTTCAACAAACTGAGCTGGGAATACTGAATATCCACCTCAGAAAAAATGAAGTTGGACCCTTCTCTAATATCATTCACAGAAAATTAACTCAAAATGAATCAAAGACCTGAACTTCAGAGACAGAACCACAAAATTCTTATAAGAATATACAGGGGGAAAGCTTCATGATGCTGGATTTGCCATTGATTTTTTGGATATAACACCACAAGCATAGGCAACAAAAGACAAATAAGATAAACTGGACTTCATCAAAATGAAAAACTTATATGCCAAGAATAGCAGGAAAAGAATGAAAAGGTAATACAAAATAGATGAAAGTATTTTCAAATCATAAGTCATAAGGAATTGATATCCAAAAAATATATAGCACTCTAACTCAAAAACGACAACAACAAAAAAACTAAAAATAAGGAAAGGACTTGAATAGACATTTCTCCAAAGAAGATACACAAATGGCCTATAAGCAAATGAAAAGATGCTCAATCAAATCATGTATCATTAGGAAAATGCAAATCAAAACCAAAATGAGATTACCACTTCATACACATTAGGATGACTATTAATTAAAAAAAAAAAAAAAAAAACACATCAACCTTCACCTCAAAAAGAAAGACAGAGGTAGAGAGAAAAGAACAGGTATTAGAAAGGACCTGCAGAAATTGGAACCCTTATGCATTGTTGGTGGGAATGCAAAATGGTTCAGCCACTGTGGAAAACAGCCTGGCAGTTTCTCAAAAAATTAAACATAGAATTACAGTGTATATCAAAAAATACTGAGAGCAGAGAATCAAAGAGGTATTTGAACATTCATATTCATAGCAGCAGCACTCACAATAGCCGAATAGTATAAGCAACCCAAGTGACCATCCATGGGTGAAAAGATAAGCAAAATGTGGTATATACACACAATGAAATATTATTTGTCCTTAAAAAGGAAGGAAATTCTGACTTCTGCTACAATACAGATAAACATTGAGGACATTACAGTAAGTGAAATAGCCAGTACCAGAAAGACAACTAATGTACGGTTCCACTTATAGAAGGTACCTGGAACAGTCAAATTCAGAGAGACAGATAGGAGAAGGGTGGATGTCGGGGGCCGAGGGAGGGGGAATGAACAGCTAACGTTTAATGGGTACAGTTTCAACTAACTGAAGAAGATAAAAAAAGTTTGGGAGTTGGATGGTGGTGATGGTTGCACAATGTAAATGTACTTTAATGCCACAGAACTCTACACTTAAAAATGGTAAATGTTATATATGTTTTAGCACACACACTATAAAAGCTGTTGAAAATGCACCAAATTTTCTACTTGAAATCATGAATATGTATATATTCACAGGGAAAAAATTAGCAATCCACTATATGTGAATCTCTTAAAACAGCAGGTTTTTTTTCTAGCTAGGAAGTAGTTGGTTGCTATTAAATATTTTCTTGATAAAATGCCTGAGCTTGCCTTAGAGGGCTAAGTGAATATTAAAAGTATGCCTGAATCTCACTAATAAAATGCTAATGCATGAGCAATTCCTACTTAGGGCAAAAGAATATCTAAGAAGACCTGAATATGTCTGTCAACTGAAATAAAATTCCATATTAGTTAATCTATGCTTATTAACCTTTGCCTAAAAAATTAACAAAGGCAACTAGAAATAAAAAGGGATAAAAACAAAACAAAAATAAGTTGTTCTCAATTTCCTGTGGAGGCAGAATTTATAAACAAGTATAGCATTTAATCAGGACAAGATGGAAAAATGAGCATTGACAATGATTCCTACACAAATTAGAATTCTGTATTTCAGTATCAGGACAATCTAATGTTTTCATATAACTAAATTCTGAAAATTAAGCTTTAAAAAACATAAAGATTTCCAATTTTAGTATCTGAAGTGAAATTATTCGGTAAACTGATGTTCACAAACAATCCCTGAACCCTTCCTCCTCTTCTTCTAAACTACAAACAATATGACTGGGCTCCAGACTTGAATGATCAGTGGATCTTGTACTAAGATCATGGCTCATCAAACTTAAGCATAAATGAGAAAACTAAAAAATCTGGCTGAATATTAGGACACCTGGGTAATACAACATAAAATTACAGTTAATAAAAATGATATACAGTTGTCCCTTGGTATCCACAGGGAATTGGTTCCAGGAACCCCTGGATAATACCAAAATCCACTAATGCTAAAGTCCCTTATTTAAATTGATATATTATTTGCATATAACCTACATGCTTCCTCCCATATACCTTAAATCATCTCTAGATTACTCATAATACCTAATACTATGTAAATGCTACATAATCTTCTGCCATCTGATAATAGGTGAGGAAACTTTTTTTTTATTTGTTTCTTTAAAGCATCAAAATATTAGCACTGTTTAGGGAATAATGAGAAGAAAAAAGTCTGTACATCTTCAGTACAGATACAATCAGCAGCCATCCTGGGCCTAATTTCAGAGTACACATCAGCAACAACGTAACTTTTCTCTAAGAATTTTCAGTCCTAGGATGGTTGAATCTGCAGCTACAGAAAGTTGACTGTATTTCCATTTCATACGCAGAGAAATCAAGTCTGACTTCCATTATTCTTAAGAGGTAATGAAACAAAAGAGTAAGACAATTAAAGACCGTCTTCTTTTTTGTTTCAGATGTTTCTCCTTCCCCCCCCCCACCCTCCTTCCCATCCCTCCACCCCATCCCCAGCTTTGTTGTCTATGTCCATTGGTTATGCATACATGCATATAAGTTCTGTGGTTTATCTCTTCCCTCCCCCTCACCCCTTCTTCTGAGGATTGTCAGTCTGTACCCTACTTCTATAACTATGGGTATATTTTGTTCATCAGTTTGTTTAGTTCATTATATTCCAGATATAAGTGAGATCATGTGATATTTGTCTTTCTCTGCTTGGCTTGTTTCGCTTAGGAAAATACTTTCCAGGTCCCTCCATGTCGCCTCAAAGGATAAGAGATCTTTCTTTCTTACAGCTACATAATACTACCACTGCTTTTTTATCCACTCGTCTATTGATGGACACTTGGGCTGTTTCCAGATCTTAGCAATTATAAATAGTACTGCTATGAACATGGGGGTACATATATTCTTTCTGATTGGTGTTTCATACTTCTTAGGGTATATTCCTAGAAGTGGGATCACTGGGTAAAATGGCAGTTCAATTTTTAATTTCTTGAGGTACACCATAGTGTTTTCCATAGCGGCTGCACCAGTCTGCATTCCCACCAGCAGTGTACTACAGTCCCCTTTTCTCCACACCCTCACCAGCACTTGTTGTTTGATGATTTGTTGATGGCGGCCATTCTGACAGGTGTGAGGTGATACCTCATTGTTGTTTTAATTTGCATCTCTCTGATGATTAGTGATGTTGAGCATTTCTTCATATGTCTCTTGGCCATTTGTATGTCCTGTTTGGAGAGGTGCCTCTTTAGGTCCTCCATCGATTTTTTAATTGGATTCTTTGTCTTCCTTTTGTAGAGTTCTGTGAATACTCTATATATTTTGGAAATTAACCCCTTATCTGATGTATCATTGGCAATTATGCTCTCCCATATAGTGGGTTCCCTTTCCATTTTGATGGTTGTTTATTTTGCTGTGCAGAAGCTTTTTAGTTTGATGCAGTCCTATGTGTTCACTTTTTTCTTTGTTTCTCTTGCCTTAGGTGTAGGATCAGTGAAAATTCTACTGTGTATGATGTAAAGACAGTCTTATACACCAAGAAAATACTGTCACTATCATAAAAATATTTAAAATCAACTTTGTAAACTGATTCTATAATTGAACACATTTACCTTTTAAATAAGATCGCACTAAATTATACTATGGACGTGGAGAAAGACATTTCAGTATCTAACTATAAACCAATGGATAACCAGAATTTTCCAAAAAGTGCTAAAGAAAAAAAAAAAACATACTTAGGTTTAGAATGGTAAATGGTATACCCATACTAACAACTGGGGGGTCTAATGTAAAAGGAAAGTGAGGTTTAAAAGAACTTAAGATTTATTGTTTAATTCAAAACAAGGACTCTACATAGATGAAGTAGAAAGGTGGATTCTTCAACATGAAGGTAAAGCTTAGTCCTGTGTTGTTTTCCCTCAGATTCCTTGGCTCCTACCCTCTACCCACATCCTTCATCTGAGTTTAAATGGATTTGCATGCTCTACTCCATGACCAGTTAAATAATAATCAGTGCAGTTCTTTTCAGCATTGCTAATAATGATTATACATACTATTAACATGCCAAGGCACTGGGTATTACTACTCCAAGTGATTTTTAATCATAGGAGAGCAAAAGTTTTACAGACATTTTTAGTACCAAAGAACTCGAGTAATTTTTTCTGCATTTTAAAGATTCAAACTGACCAAATCACATGGTGAGAGTGGGGGCAATATACTAATGCCCCCATAAAACCCATTAAATGATGTTTAGATACAAACCATTTAGAAAAATAATAAAAGAGCACTACCTTACACAATAAATCAAAATAAGTCCAGTCAGTTTAAAATTGAAATGTATAAACAGACCCTGCAAAAAGTTACAGGAAAAAAAAAATATATATATATATATATAGAGAGAGAGAGAGAGAGAGAAAGAGAGAGAGAGAGAGAGAGAGAGAGAGATACACAAAATCTTGGCCCGACAGGTGTGGCTCAGTGGTTGAGCGTTGACCCATGAGAGAGAGAGAGAGAGAGAGAGAGAGAGAGAGATACACAAAATCTTGGCCCGACAGGTGTGGCTCAGTGGTTGAGCGTTGACCCATGCACCAAGAGGTAGCCAGTTTGATTCCCGGTCAGGGCACAGGCCCAAGTTATGGGCCAAATCCCCAGTGAGGGGCATGTAGGAGTCGTCCAATCGATGTTCTCTCTCATCGATTCTTCTATCTCTATCTCTCTCTCCCTCTCCCTTCCTCTCTCTCTAAAAAAAATCAATAAAGAAAATAAATAGCCCTGGCCGGTTTGGCTCAGCGGTTGGAGCGTCGGCCTGCGGTACAGAGAGACCCGGGTTCGGTTACCGCTAAGGGCATGTACCTCGGTTGCAGTTTGTCCCCAGCCCTGGTTGGTCGTGCAGGTGGCAGCCACTCGATGTGTCCCTTCACGTCGATGTTTCTCTCTCTCTCTCTCTCTCCCTCCTGCTCTATCTGAACAAAAATTGGAAAAATGTCCTCGGGTGAGGATAAAAAAATAAAGTAAAAAAATTTAAAAAAAGAAAATAAATAAATAAAATAAAATCTTGAATATAGGAAAGGATTTATAAAACCCATAAAGAAAAGTACTGATAATTATCTTGCAATGTAATTTAAAATTTCTATTTTATAAATTACACTTATAATTTAAATTACATTAAAGTCTCTACTTAATAAAGTTACAATGCAAGTGATAAATTGAGAAAAGTTCTTATATATATCCCTACTATATAAAGAACATTTTAAACTGAATTTTTGAAAATGACATAATACATAGAAAATAAAGACAGGCATTTCATACCACTCAAGAAAATCATATAAATAAGAACTTCTGTGAAAATAAAAATGATTACATTTTATATTGATAGAATAAAAGGAACAGGCCCTCTCAATCCCTGCTGATGTGAATACTGATATCTTTCTGAAGGATAAATAAACAGTATGTATCCAGGTTGTAAAAATGTATATACTTTTCTATCCAAAAATTTCTCTTCTAAGAATTTATCCTATATAAATAATGTAGGATATTGGCTTGCCAAGTATATAGCACAGAAATTCCTTATTTCTTCAGCATTATTCATAAATGAAAAGATTTAGCAGTAAAGATAGTCCATAAGTTGAAGAGCAAACAGCTATGTAAAAAATTAGATCTATAAACAAAATAATTCTTTTTTATTCCTCACCTGAGGATATTTTTCCATTTATCATCATATAGAGTGGGAGGGAGGAAGAGAGAGAGAGAGAAACATCGATGTGATAGAGCCACATTAACTGGCTACCTCCCACACGACCCGACCAGGGCCGGGGACAAACTGCAACCAAGGTACGTGCCCTTGACTGGAATCGAACCCATGACTCACTGGTCCACGGGCTGACACTAACCACTGGGCCGAACTGGACAGGGCTAAATGGAATAATTTTTAATGATATATTGTAAAACTCAAAGTTATAAAACAGGGACAATGTTTTTAAAAAAGCAAACATTTAAATATGTGGGAAGCATTCACTAAGAAACCAAGATGTTAGTGATTATCTTCAGTAACTGAGATTAAGAGTGATTTTCTTTTTTTAATTTAAATTGTGTAACAAAAATTTAATTTTATTAAGTATTTTTATTAAGTTACTTAAATCTCTGGGTATTTCTTGGCATGAAGGAGCCAAAAAAAACCCCACCTCACCCCCAGAAAAACCAAAAACTTAATGTTTTCTTTCGTAACTTTAGCGTACAATCTGAATATTAATGTTTTATTTAGTCTTTAAAATAAAATGTGTGGTGGGACTAAGAAAATAAAGCAAAATGTCAATAGTGTTATCTCTGTATAGTGGAATCACATGATTGGATTTTCATTTTGTTCTAGCTATATTCTCCATTTTCCAAACTTTCCATAATGGTTATATACTACTTTTAAAATAATACAATGGTGAACTTTATATCTATTTTATATAGACTCACACTCACAAATTATGTTTTTGAAAAAGCCCTGACTGGGTGGCTCAGTTGGTTGGAGCACTGTCCCATACACCAAAAGGTTTCAGGTTCAATCCCAGGTCACATAAATAAATAAATAAGCAGAAAAAATAGAAATAAATCGAATTATTTATAGTAGTTATTGCTGACAGAGGGTGGTTTTTCTGATTCTTCTAATTTTTTGTGTCCCAACTTTCCTAGGAGAATTACGTATATTAATAATAGAACAACTGAATAACATTTTCATAAATAAAAGGACACAGATGAAATTCTAAATTAGAAAGAATAAAATTAAACCTCATTTTACATCTTTCATAAATATAACTTAAAAGAAGTTTTCTAATCTATGATATTTCACTAGTTGCAAAAATAGACTTTCAAAGAAGTATGGTATCAAAAATTATTTTTTAGGACATGAATCCTGAGAATTTAAAATCAAGTTTGACAAGAATTGGAGAAAAATTGATGTGTATGGGTATTATATGTGTTGTGTGTATGTGTGTGTGTGTGTGTGTGTGTGTGTTGTCCAGGTTGGAACGGTTTTTTTAAACAATAAATAAACATTTATTATTTTTTTAAACAATAAATAAATATTTGAGCTCTACTCTATATATTTTATTTTAAATGCCTAACTAAATCTTTGTTTAATGTTTTAAAAAGTGAAAAGGGAGGTAAGAAACTGAGAATTCAGAGTAATAATTCATTTTGGTTGTTTATCTCTAAGCCATTAGAAATGGAATACATTAAGTTCTTTTCACATTATCATAAAAATACTTCTTACCTGCCAGTAACAAACTGCAGGAGAAGAACTCTCTCCTCTGGAGTAATATCTTCCACAACTTCCCAGAACCACTAACAACAATAATAACAAAAAATTTAGCTCATATTTCAGAGCAATTGTAGACTTAATACCAAAGAAATATGCAGCATTCATAAAGCATATTTTATTCTAAGAAACTCATTTATCAAAAATGATTTCATACAAAGCTTTCATATGCAATTCCCATGAGAAGAATTTAGAGAAAAACTTTACTTTGTTAATTAATGTAGGTTTTCATCCAGTAGTGCTGAAAAGCTTACAAAATTAAATGGCAAAACTTAACTTCGTTTTAAGCTCCAGAGAAATTTTACCTGAATAACTGGATCTTGTCTCTCATAGCCACTTGTGTATTCTGTATTTTTTATCCAATCACTCACATCAATTTCTGGCATGCCAGAGAGCAGTAGCTCCTTTGAGGAAGAAGAAAAATATTTCATATTCTTCTTTGGAAGAAAAAAAAAAAGAACAACCTATTCCATTTAAAGAGTAAATCTGCCTTAATTAGAAACCAATTCTATGTAAAACTGATTTATTTCTGTGACACTGTCTGCATGTCATCAATAACAAGTACTACATGGGAGAGAACCCTTGATACTGATAATCTCAAATACTGTGACATGTGGAGATGTCTCAATTAATTGTGGAGATGACACAATTAAAACATAAGAAGATACTTTATAGTTATAGATAAACATTTATGCAGCAACAGTTTATATGTACGATAATTTTATGAACATTATGTTTATTTTTACTTTATGAATTTGTTAAATTCTATACAGACCATACTCTCAATATGAAAGCGACAACAAATACCTGAATATATCCTGGGTTAAGGAAAGAAAAAAATCATCAAGAAACCCTAATCATTATGAAAAAGAAAGGTAATAAAATATAAATAATTGTATTAAAAAAGACAGACTGGGGCTTTTAAAGAACTATTCTGGAATAATTCGGATCTTTAATGTCAACTTTTCCCAAGGTGAGGGAAGAAATGCAATTTCCCCAATGACTTTTGGTAACCTCCTTTTTCCCAGGAAGAGCATCAAATAAACAAAATAGCAATCAAATAACTAAAAAATAAAATTAAAAATGGCAAAAGTATTTACCATTATATTTTTCAAGAGAAAAGAAAACATGAAAAGAACTTCTCTGAATCAGTCCATTTCTCACAGCTGGACGTGTTTACACAGTCAGGTGAGGCAATAACTAGCCTACACTTAACTACAACGCTGACAAGCCAGAAGAGCAGGATTTGTTATTACAGAGACATCCATGTAATGTGGCTCAAAATCACGTTTTCTACAGCAACTACTCGTAATATATACCAGACTAGTACAGAGTGCACTCTGAAGGTTAATACAAGGCGATGTCTGAGAACTCTTGGGTGTTTGAGATCTGTTCAAGGAGTCTGCAAGGTTCTCTCTTTTCCAACTTATCTAAGGCTAAAGTTCCCCCAAATATTTCAACCAAACAACACAACACAACAGATAATGTGCAGAAGCAGATATGAGTACCCAGTTGTCTTCTATTAAGCCAGACATTAAAAAAATTTGTAAAAATGTGAAATAATACCACTCTTCCCATTATTTGTTTCATTCTGGAAAATGCAGTTTTCATTTTTTAAATGCTATTTATTTTAATAGGTAATTAATTATTTTTATACGAATTAATAAAATATTTTACACTTCTGTTTTAATCTCAAATACAGTAAACATCAAGTAATATAACTCACATAAACAAAAAGCCTTTTGTTATAAGGGGGTCCTAAGACCAAAAAGTCTGAGAACTGCTAGTGTTTATGTTGTCCTTGAGATGGTACTATAAAATACTTCTGCTAGATAAACGTGGTCTGTTAGTGTCCATTCACCACCCACAAATACTTTCTCCGCCTTTCTTAGCACTGTTCTGTGCCCTAGGAGGCTGATTCTGGCAAACCAGCTCTCTTGTCCATTGGCTTCAGGTTGGGTTTCATCACAGAGAAGAGGCAAAAGTCTGGAGGTGACAGTATTTCCTGCTCCCTTCCTGCTTAGCACATCTTTCCAGCAGCCTATCTCCTCGTCACCGGGCTGCTTACAGTAAGTCCTCCACCTGTCTCTTCAGTTCTAGGGGTGATAAAGGCTTTCCATTGTTACTAGCTCTAGATGTCTCACCAAATCTGTTTAATCTTTTTTTTAATCCTCATTCACGGACATTTTTCCATTTTTTGCTCAGACAGAATGGGAAGAAGAGAGTTAGAGAGAGAAACATCGACGTGAAAGGGACACCATCGAGTGGCTGCCACCTGCACAACCCAACCAGGGCTGGGGACAAACTGCAACCGAGGTACGTGCCCTTAGCAGGAACCGAACCCGGGTCTCTCTGGACCGCAGGCCGACACTCTAACTGCTGCACCAAACCGGTAGGGCCAAATTTGTTTATTCTTAACACTGCCTGCACCTCTGCAACAGTCCCTTTGTCAAAGTTCCTTTATTTGAACCAGCTGGGGAAATTCTGTTTTGTGGCAGGACACTGATACAGACCTGTCAAAAGGGAGTGAGAATGAATTTCACACGTTTCTTACAATCTGAGTTTAATCTTCTTCCCTTCTAAGCTCAAGTAAGCTTTTACTAATACTAAGTATGCTCTCACTGTTAATAATTATGAATAAAAATGACTGAGGCTTTATTCTCTTAAGATTTTGAACTATTTCATGAATATCATATGTTACAACTTTTATCAAGAGGATGAAAGATCTTTATTATCCTACTTCACACTGCTCTTCTCAAGTAATCTTCCCATAATTCAGTGAATCAGCTCAACTTAGTTTTATAGCCAGAATCTAAAACACACTAGGAATCTCACCTAACTTCTAATATAAGAACAATTAAAAACTTATCAGTAGCAGACCTGAATGAATAAATGTAGACATAAATCACATAAAATTAAAAATCCCATTAGATCACAGTGAAAGGCAGGCAAATTGACGAAGTGTAACAAAACATTCATTAGAGATTGGGGGCCAGCAAAGAGCGTGGACTCCACAGAGGTTTGAAATGGAAAATTATAAGATTATATATACGATGAAATAGGAAGCTGAAGAAGAAAACCCAAATACAACAAGAAAAACCTTCTTATTTAATTCTCCTCGTTGGAAGTACAAGAAGTATGTATCAGTATCCTTTTACCACAGATGGCCAAATAGAAAATTCAGAAATAATGGAATGTTGCTTTTGGGAAGACTGGCCCTCAGCATCTCCCACGTACAGTACTTTAGAAAAAACATCCACTTTCATTTATCACCACTGCACTCCATTTCACATTAAGGAATTGCTAATCCAGTTATTAAGCTTAAGAGAAGTACAATCACAAACGTTGTAAAATATCTCTAAACTTGAATATTAATCCATGTCTTCTATATTACTCCATGCATCATAGCACCCCAAAATTATTTCTGAATTACATCAGCTGGAGTCTGGTACAGTTGTGCACAACAAAGGAACTGATGTTCTTCCTTACCAACTCAAATTCATCAAACAGTTGGATGAGGGAAGGTGGGATGAACATATGAAAGCCCTGTAGAAAAGCATTGATCTGAGGCTGAATGGCTCTTGTCATTCGAAGTTCAGTAACAAGCTGGACATACTCCTCCTATTTAAAAGAAAAAGTTTTTGTGATTACTTTTTTTTTTTAATTCCACATACTTAAGACAATGTTGATATAATCACTTCTCATTGAAGAGGTAAAGGTTTAGAATTAATTTGGCACCAATATTCAAGCATCTCAGCAAACGAGCTCGCTACCATTCACTAAACTGTTCTCTTACACCCTGTAACAGCAAGTGCCATTAAAATCTACTTCCAGCCCTGGCCGGTGTGGCTCAGTGGATGGGGCAGAGGCCCAAGCACTGAAGGGTCTGGGTTCAATTCCCAGTCAAGGGCACACACCTGGATTGCAGGTTCAATCCCTGGCCCCAGCTGGGGTGGTGCAAGACAACCTATTGATGTCTCTCTCACACATTGATGTTTCTCTCTTTCTCTCTCTCTCCCCCTCCCTCCCTTCCTTTCCTTACACTCTCTCAAAAAACCAATGGAAAAAATGTCCTTGAGTGAGGATTAACAACAAAAATCTGCTTCCAGAAAATATTCTCTCTGACCCTGTCTCACCACCTCACTTGAAGCGCCCTGGTCCAAGTCACCTCCTCTCACCTGGATCACTGCGGTATCTGGTGTCTCTGCTTCCATTGCCTCTGCATTGCTTCTTCGCTACACCAGAGTGATCTTTTAAATATATATTTCATATCACATAACTCTGCTGCTCAAAACCCTACAATGACTTCTCCTAACACTTAGAATAAAATCCAAATTCCGTTCCTAGCCCTCTGCCTTGCTTTCCCGCCGCACTGCCTCCACTGCCCCCTCGCTCACTCGCAGTACTCCCATCACAAGCTCCTTCAGGCCTCGGGCTCTGAACTTCCTGGTCTCTGACTGAAATGTCCCATCAGGATGTAATCTCTCTGCGGGCAGGGGCTCTATCTGGTTTACCAGCACATATCCTCAGCTCCTAAAAACAGTGGTGGCCACTTTGTAAGTGTTCAAAAAATATGTGCATAATTCAACAAATTCATTTAATATATACTTAGAACCTGATAAAATGCTCAAGTGTAGCTGATTTGATTCCAAGTTAAGGTAAGCTATTTCATATATTTTATTTTAAAATACATCATCGTCGTCATAGAAAATAGTGTCATTTAAAATTTAGTGGGTAATAAAAAATGCATTTTGGCTCAGACCAGAATGAATTATCAACTAGATAGACAGATAGGTCTATCTATATATACTCTATCAATTATTATCATTTATAATTTTAAATTACATGTAAGTGAAACTTTGTGAGTCAAAAGCAATATGCTGTATGTAATTCTCACCCCCCAGGAACGACTGAACACAAAGGGGAGAAAGCCGGTTTTAGCACCTCCCTTTATTTATTTATTTATTGGCACTAATCTGATGCTTTGTTCCCCAGGCCCCCAAGCCAGCAAGTTGCATATGACTACTGGCTATGAATTCTCCATTTATCTTAGAGCTCCGCAGTGTCATAGTAAGTTCCTCACAGCTCCCCGCAAACCCCGCACGGCTCCATGTACAATCTGGCACAGGGGAAGCTGCCACCCCTGCCATTTAATCTTTTCTTACCCCCAAATCCCACCCCCTACCACCCAGAGGTTTTTCTCCACTATAAAGGAATTAATCAGTTACTACAAATTACACACAGTTACTAGAGGAAGGCAGAAATGCGTGCCAAACAATAATAACAGAAACATAAACCTAAATTTCAGGGTCCAATCAAGAATAATATATAATAACACAATTCTAAGTGATAACCAGCAGTGATTTCAACATCAGCACATGACTATCTCGATATTTATGTATGCTCTAACTAAAACCGCTGACTGAACACTACAATTTTTCTCATTCATTCATTCATTCATTCATTATATGTTTAAGGTGCCAATGAGATCCTATCTTTTTAACAAGAGTAGTTTTTACAATCTTAAGGTACTATTCAACAGCCGTTGCTCAAGACCTTAATGAATTATGAATCATGAAATTAAAAAAATTTGTGAATTGCTCAAGTACACTTAGCCTATTTTAATTTGCCATTGTACTCCATATTTATCAGAATGGTACACATTGTCATTTTTATCAATTAATTCCTATTATTTCCTTATACATTTGATGTTTAAAAATTAGCTTTCACAAGTATACTAATCTTTGTTCACATGTTCCCTTCTATTCCATCTAATAATTGTTTTCAACATTTATTTCTGTAAATCTGGTTCATAGTTACTAAATATCAACTTGTTAAAATAAGCTCCTTCAGCCCTGGCCGGTTTGGCTCAGCAGTTAGAGCGTCAGCCTGTGGTCCAGAGAGACGGGGTTCAGTTCCCACTAAGGGCACGGACCTCGGTTGCAGTTTGTCCTCGGCCCTGGTTGGGGTTGTGTGGGAGGGGCCACATGATGTGTCCCTTTCGTGTCAATGCTTCTCTCTCTCTCTCTCCCCCTCCCTCCCTCCTTCCCTCCCACTCTATCTGAACAAAAAATGGAAAAACGTCCTCGGGTGAGGACAAAAAAAAAAAATCCTCAAGTGAAGATTAAAAATAAATAAAATAAGCTCCTTCAGATACCAGTCTCCAAAGTAAGTTAACTTAAAAGTGAACAGGAAAAAAAAAGCCCTGGCCAGGTGGCTCAGTTGGCTGAAGTGTCATCCCATACACCAAAGGGTTGCAGGTTCAATCCCTGGTCAGGTATGTGTGAAATGTTTCTCTCTCACATTGATATTTCTCTCTCCCTTCCTCTCGCTCTAAAAAAATTTGTAAAAACATGTCCTCTTTGCCTGGCCAGTGTGGCTCAGTGGATTGAGCATTGTCCCATGAGGTCACCTGTTCAATTCCCAGTCAGGGCACATGCCCAGGTTGTGGGCTTGATACAAAGTGGGGGCATGGGGCACGTAGGAAGCAGCTGATAGATGTTTCTCTTTCATTAATGTTTCTATCTCTCTCTCCCTCTTCCTTCCTCTCTCTCTACAATAAAAACACACTAAAAAACAAACAAACAAACAAACAAACAACCCATGCCCTTGGTTGAGGATTAAAAAAATAATAATAAAATGTGAATGGATCTTGGTCTAAACTATTTCTCAGTAAAATAATTAAATCCTAGCCATCACAAATCTTTCTGAGTATAGTAAAATAAGTTTCTCAGGCGGTTGAAAGATAATTATGTTTAACAGTTAAAATATACAGGAAATGGGAAAAAATCTAAATCCAGCAGCTTCTAAAATGTTGCTCTACCTCCTTCAACAGCACATCCTCAAAGAGTGTAACATACATTGACATTTTCTTGGTGATACAATTATTACTATGAACATCCACTATTATTATGCACTAACAATGTGACTGTTCATACTGTGCCATAGAAACACACTGGCTGCATTCCCACTACCTGTGAGGGCAGCCAAGTGACACACCTCCACCCTTGATCCCCTGCATAACTACATCAAACAACTTGTATGCCTTAAAGAAAACAGTGGACACGTAGCTGGTAATCAGTCTACAAAACACTGGCATGAGGGTTACACAATTAAACATTAAGTACATACCAAACCTAAAACCTCACATTTCTTTAAGATATTAAAAGGAGATGATATCCAACAGATGGCTTATTTTCTCCCACCTGACTTTTATTGTTAATTCTTTGAGGGCATAAAATAATACCAAGTGCCATAAATGTAACTCAAAGAAGTAACTATATACAAGAATTTGAGTTAGTGCTTGTACTGAAAGAGTTATGCTAACACATAGAAAGTTTTCAACTTGGAAAGCCTCAGTATGGAGATAAGAACAACAAAAAGCCCTAGCAATGTTTTTTTTTTTTTTTTAATTTATTTATTGATTTTATTAGAGAGACAGAGGAAGAGAGAGGGAGAGAGAGATGGAAACATTGATGCAAGAGAACATCGACTGGCCGCCTCCTGCATGCCCCCCACTGCGGATTTGGCCCACAACCTGGGCATGTGCCCTGACCAGGAATCAAACCGGCGACCTTCCAGCGCATTGGTCGATGCTCAACCACTGAGCCACACTGGCCAGGCCCTAGCAATTTTTTTCTAGCTCAACCTGAGCCTGATAACTGATACAGGATAGGTAAGAAAAAAAATAACTGCAAAGGGGAAAATAACACTGAGATTAAAGAGATTCAACTTCTAACATTATGTTCCAGTTAAATTACAGGTCTAGTTACAGAAATACTTTGATTTAATAATCTCCTAGTCTTCTGAATGTGAACTAAATAACATCACCCCTCAGAAATTTTCCTTAAAATTCTAATTTCCTTTCAAGCTTTGGACCTAAATTATGCCTTCTTATGAGAGATGGTGATGTTGAAACTTGACACACTTTTTGAAGCTATTTTTCTTCTTGAAAATCTTTCACTATTTCTAGAAAAATATCTAAATAAACAATATTTATTTAACAATAAACTAAAATTTTTTTTTTGGTTAGTTCTTACTCGAGGATATTTTTCCATTAATTTTTATTTTTTTAAGTCTTTTGTTAATCCTCACCTGAGGATATTTTTCCACTGATATATTTTTTAAAACAGAGTGAAAGAAAGGGAGAGAGACAGAAAGAGAGAGAGACATTGATGCAAGAGAGACATCAATTGGTTGCCTCCAGCACCACCCTGGCTGGGGCCAGGGATCGAACCTTCCATTCAGGTACATGTCCCTGACAGGGATTCACACCCACAGATCTCAGTCCCTGGACCAATGCTCTAACCATTGAGCCAAACCAGCCAGAGCTTTCCATTGATTTTTTAGATAGAGTGGAAGGAGGAAGGGGGAGAGAGACATTGATGTGAGAGAGACACATCAATTCACTGCCTCCTGCACAACCCCGAATGGGCCGGGGACCAAACCTGCAACCCAGGTATGTGCCCTTGACCGGGAATCGAACCCATGACCCTTCAGTCCACAGGTTGATGCTCTTACTGCTGAGCCAAACCAGCCAGGGCAATAATAATCAACTTTTAATAGTGAAAACAAAATGTCCCTTTTCCCTCCTCTAAGTAGACCGATAAACATGGCCATATTTGTAAAACTATCTAGAATAGTTATTCTTTTTTAGCAATTAATAGTTTAAATGGCATTATTATTGGCATAATTCAATTAACTATTTCAAAATAAACTCCTTGGTAATAAAAGCTTCCTTCCTGGGTTTATGCACTTGATTATTATTGCTCTGGTGTGTAAGAGTTCTCACTGAAAACTTCACCTAAAACTCAAAAGAATACCAGATTTCTTTTGTAGGAATAAGTAGATACAAGAAAAAAGAGGGGTAATATTTTTCAATAGTTTTTTCTTTACCAGTATATTCTTATTTTTAAGGTCACTTATTAGTTATAAAGACTGATAAAGTCTGGTAAAAATCCTATTACTTCAGTTTCCTTGAGAAAAAATTTGGTCATTGAAAACAGTGATTCTTCAGGTTACCATTTCATACAGTTGGTAAATTTTCTAATACACTAACTGAAATGCAAGGAAAAGTATGTTCTCCTTGTAAACAGGACAATTTTAAAGATAATCTAAAATCCAATCCAATCTAATAATACACACAAACACTCAATATGGAGAACCTCAGACCTGAACTGTTTTAAAAGTTTTGAAGTACTAAAATGATTTCTCATAGTATAATTTTCTGAAGATAAAAATAAGGAACCCACTTTAAGTCAATAATTTATTTACACAAACCTATATTTTGTGCTTACATGTACTCATCAAATGTGTCTGTATGTGAAATAAATCAAGTGAAATTAGCAATAAAATAGAAGGTATTAAGTGGAGGAGCCCTGGTCGGTGTTACTCAGTGATTACGTCAATTCCCAGTCAAGGGCATGTACCTGGAGGAAAACATACTAAATTTGTATTTGCAACTGTGTTCATATTCACTGACTTGGTGAAAGAAAAAAAGCCTAGCAGTTACACAATCATACTGAGGGCTCACCACTTACTAATTTTGAGCCCTTAGACAGTTATTTAACTTCTAAAGAAATACATAGAATCACAGTTACAAGCTCAGGCTTGAAATTAATATTCTGCCTGGGTTCAAATCCTAGTTCCAACATTTATTAACCATGTGATTTGGAGGAAAGCTACTTAAAAATCCTTTATGCTTGTTTCCTGACCTGTAGAAAAGGATATCTACAATCCACAGGATTGTTTAAGTTAATACATATAAAGTACTTTGAACAGTGCCTAACACATTATAAGCACCTAATAAATGTCAGACACTTTTAATATTAAAGCTGTTTCCACATTCAATAAATAGAAATAACAATCTCAAAAGGCTGTTATAGTAAATGAGAAATGCAAAAAGAACACATCTCAAATACATGAAATATATACAAAGTACTCAAAAAGTAGTAGCTATTTTCATCGCTAGAAAACAGAATGGATAGTAATGAGATTGCTGAAGAGGATTCTGGGGGCCAATCCACAAAAGTAGCATCATCTCTGATACGCTCTTTTTTCACCTCCCCAAACAATTACTGGGTTCTGTAAATCCTTTATCCTTAAAAGCTCTCATTTTCTCCACACTTACTGCCACTGTTTTATAAAATCCCCCATGCATGCTCCACAGATCAAAGCCACAACAACCTATTGGTTGACCTGACTCCAGTATCACCCCATTATAATCCATTCTGCACACTCTAAGCTAAGTTTGTTTTCCTTAAAAAACAAACAAACAAAAAACACAGAAATTCGATCATGTCACTCTCCCCTACCCTAGAGCATCTGCAATCATCCCCACAGCCTTCAGAATAATTATCAAATCTCTAATTGTGAATTAAAGTCTTTCAGAATTTGGCCCCTTTTTACCTCCCTCAGCTCATCTTTTCCCACTCACTCACTTTGCAATCTAGCTAAGATCTACAACTCTTATCTATCTGTGTTCCCCAAACACATGCTCAGTCCACTCTGTGACTTCTTGTGAGCCCAGAACACCGCCTTCTCCCCTTCTCAGTCCTATCTGAATACTTAATGCTTCTTCTCTGTACTCAACTGCCATGCCACCTCCTCCACTCCCTGGCATCCTGCCCCATCCCTCCCCCATGTTTTCCCCTCCCAGCCATAATGAACCGGAGAATAAGTATTGTAAAAGTGTTAACATTTTAAACCCAAGTAGCTTACTCTTCAGTTCTAACAGCTAGATCCATTTAAGGTAAATGGATATTTCCACAGATAGTTAATATTTTAAAATAATCAAGCTGTTTATTGAATAGCATTAAATGTTTAAGCATCAATAATTAGATATAAAATTACACTCGACTCTTACTGATATTCACTTCTAACATCAAGAACTAAAGATTTAGGCAAAAAATGTCCCTTTTAACTCCACATTTCATGGTTCTACAATTTCAGCTTTTTATCAAAAAGCTGAAAAGTGAAAAGTAAAAGTGAAAAAAAAAAAAACTAAAATGAATATACAATTTACATGTAAATATTCAGCTTCTGATAATTCAACCATTTTCAAAAGTGAAACCAAGGTTTACTGGGCTTTTTTCCCCTCTAGATTTTAAAACAACTCATTGATAGACACAAATTTAAATTTAAAAGAGCATTATAGTTCAAATGTAGAACTGATACATATTCTTCTGCCTTACAATACTTGTGTTTTTTAATTTACTGCTTTTTAAACAACGGTATTTTCATCTATTTGGTTTTACTTTATAATTACCAAAGCCTTTCAATAAAACTGAGGAATAAATGACTCCCCCATGTGGAGACCAGCTTCATAGACTCTCTTACTAACAAGTGTGGCAAGTCATTTAAGCTTCAGTATGCTTATAAATTTTGAAGTTGAACTCCAAACATGACAATTATAACTGTATACCTATAAAGGAAAGTAGATAAAAGGTTGATCCTAAAGTAACAAAAAAGTTTATGATAGAAATGTATGTTAAAAAATACCTCTAAAGAACATGGTTTGAACACTTTATTTGTAAATTGAATACTTGAACAATTTTAAAGTGAGTGATCAATTTAAGCTATAGATATGTTTTTGAAGATCTTTAATATTTAAAAGTTAATCAGGTTGTTTACTGAAAAAGTATTAAATGTTTAAGCATTAACAGTTAGATATAAATTATACTTGACTCTTAGTGGTAACAATAGAAAATGAAGAGGCTCAATTTATTTTAAGAAATGTTTATATTTGAAAAATGAATATAAATAAAAGTTGAGAAGAATTAACATATTAGTGATTGAGATCCTGCTTTTATCTCTATTACCAAAACTAATTATTGAAAAAAGGTTAGCCTGTAATAAACCAATTAGTTAATATAGTTAAATAAAAATGTACTAAAGTTGGAAACAAAAGTTCCAAGCTCTTAATATTACAATACTATTCCAGCCTCAGACTAGAATCAAGATGAAGGGTATATTTTCAATGTGAGTATATTCTTGTTTGTTATCATTTTTTCTACATCTTCTTCCTTTCTAGATTTCCATAAAAGAATGGATAAAATATAAATTTTTAAATCTAAACAAAAATCACGTCATAATAAGAAGGAGGCTGTTAGGAGAAGTAAGTATATATTATAGCTATCTTACCACTTATCTTAGCAATGTTAATGGGTCTTCCCACTTTGTCATATAAAATATATCTGAGAGCAATGACAAGTCCACTCATCAGATACAGTATTCACAAATAGGAATCATGTATGAGGGTCTCTCATGAAAAACAATTACTTGTTTAGAATAAAAATTTTACGACTTCATCACCCTTAAATGAGAGTACATCTCCAGTGTAAAATAAAGTAAGAAATGCACTACAAGGTGGACAATCTAATAATTAGAATTTTAAAAATATTTTCATTCATTAGCAAACTCATATAGATTTTTTAAATTAATTTAAGCACTTTACTATTTTAATTTTCTAGAGTTTCATATGACTCGTTATATTAAAAGTCAAATAAGCTCTTCCTCAGCATGATTAACTCTGCAAATAGTATGAACATTAGACTTGAAACTAGGAGACAGGAGAGCTGGGTTTTGGCCCTAGCTTTAGGCTTGTGTCCTCATGTATAAAATGAGAAGGTAGACTAAAACATTTCTAAGGATAAATGTAGAAAAACTCTGATCCTGATTTTATTTTCCAAAATTAAACTTTTTATATGTACAGTATATGCTTTCTTATATGTACAGTATCTAAGTTTCAAAAAGTAAAATTATGTAGCTTAATATTCATCTCCAATTTCATATATATATATATCTGAAACTTTTAATCCTATATTTATAGAAAACTATCCAATAACAACTAACTTTTGTAATGTACTTTTAGGTTTACAAAATGCTACTAACAGTTCTGTACAGGGGGTATTATTAATCCAATTTTACAGAATAGAAAACTGAGGTTCAAAGAGTTTAGTTAAAACATGGTCAAGTTTCTGGTTTAAAAAAAAATCGGTAATTTACTAAATTACTAGTCTACAAAGTGGCTAAATAAACATTACTTTTAATAGGTAGATGGTTCTAAAGCTGTCTTGGAATTATAATCCAACCAAAGGAAAGAAAAAAGGCTTTAGTCTTATTTAACCATAAGTTTGGTATTTGATGGTTTAGCTAATTTCAATATTTTATCTTTTATAAAACATTATTAACTCTAACAGAAAAAATTTTTTTAGCTAGTACCGAAGACTTTATAATAATTAGCCAGGAGTCTTTACAATATCAAGACCAAGTTACAAACAATGGGTAAGGGGAAAATTCAAATACTTACTTTGTTATTTTGTGTCACCAGAATACTTCCACCCCCAGGCTTCAAAGGCACCTCCTCCATTGCTCCAAATACATCAGTCTCAACAGAAAAAGTTAGTTCTAAACCCAGATCACTAATATCATTATCTAAAATCCACTGCAAATTTTTGGCATATTCTGGATCGATAGATGCCACATCTTGGTAATTTACAGGAATACCTAAAAATATAAACATACAGCAGTTATATTCTACATATTTCTGCCTTTCCTTATCTGTTTAGTGGTAAAATACTGCCCTCTGCAGATACCATGTAAAACTGCAAAATATAATCAAATTCACATCATGATTTAAATGGATGCTAAGTCTTGAATTTGAAGTTTAATTTAAGGTTATGTTTCTTCCATATTTTTTACAATGTAATCTTTCTTTGAAATAGCTATTCAGGAAATTTTTATAAACTTAAAAAAGTGCCAATTCTCAAGTATATTCATATCAAAATGCATTCTTGGCATAAATATACATACACTAAAGTGAAAAAAAAAAAAAGGTTGGCTGGTGTGGCTCAGTGGATTGAGTATCATCCCATGCACCGAGAGGTTGCTGGTTCGATTCCCGGTCAGGGCACTTGCCCAGGTTGCAGGCTCGATCCCCAGTAATGAGGCATGCAGGAGGCAGCCAATCAATGTTTCTCTCTCATCAATATTTCTATCTCTCTTCCCCTTTTCCTTCCTCTCTTAAAAAAAAAAAAAAATCAATAAAAATATATTTTAAAAGAATAAATTAAATAAAATAAATTTTGTAGCAAAGGAAGTGTTTTTTCCTTCTTTCCCTCGGGCTCTCATTTAAATGCCTTATATTCACAGATAGTCTCTAATCAAAATGAAAATGATCTCATCCAAAATGCCATCTCTTACGGAATTAGATTTCACTAAAGACTACAGGAAAAACACTTTAAATGAATGTCTATGGGAATAAATTAGAGCCATACCAAGAATGTGCTTGTAGAATGATCTTGTGAAGTAAATGTTGACCAGCTGCCTATGGTTCAAAGCTAATCCCAAGATCTGTCCAGCAAACCGAAAATAGTTCAGGTGATCAGGATTTACATAGGAGTTGCTATTAGGCTGAAAAGTTGTTCCTATTAAGTAAATACAAAATAATTTAGTTTAAAGAATCGATATGCAGAATGGAGATCATTGTAATGCAGATAAATTAGTCCATATAAAACTTCAGTAAAGCTATATTTATGTATAAACTTCCACAGAAATACTCTTTGTGGAATACATAATAGGCAGTGGAACTAGAAGTACAAAAGATTCATTATTTCACACATAAGTCTTTGCACACAGAGAAAATTTTAGAATACTTTTAACTGCACTTCTAAGTACTTTAGTTGGAAGAGGTGTCAGAGAGATCCTGGAAATAATATATTAAAGAGCTCAATCTCTCTCTCTCTCTCTCTCTCTCTCTCACACACACACACACACACACACACACACACAAGTGTTTGTTTTCCTGGGCAGTGTGGGGAAATAACTACCAGGCTGTGAATTAGGGTAGACATTGTCGCAATCAGGCCCAGGCCAGAAGATAGTTACTACTTTTTGCTCCTTAAAGAACAGAGCACTATAAGAGAATAACTAAAAATTTTAATGTACAACTGTTCTTAAGTGATTGACCTAATAAATAATCAGTGAACTTGATGCCTTTTAACAATTATCAGAAAATTACCAAAAGTTCACACAAGTCAACAAATTCATCCTCATGGCAAATAATCAAGGTTAAATAGGTATCACTGAAGTCTAAAAGTGAAAATGGCAAGGGCAATGGTTACCGATTACTGTCAAATCTATAGCAATGGAGTATATGACTCCACTTATATAAAAAAAGGTCTGGAGCCTTGGCCAGTTTGACTCAGCGGTTACAGAATTGGCCTGTGGGCCAGGGAGTCACAGATTCAATTCCGGTCAAGGGCACGTACCTTGGTTGTGGTTCATCCCTGGCCCTGGTCAGGGTCGTGCGGGAGGCAGCCAGCCAATGTGTCTCTCTCATGTTGATGTTTCTCTCTCTCTCTCTCTCTCCTCCTCTCACTTCCTCCCTCCCACTCTATCTGAAGATAAAAAGAAGAATATCCTCGGGTAAGGATAAAAAAAAAGGTCTAGAAATAAATAGTGGTGATGGTTATACAACATTGTGAATGTAACATAGTGCCACTGAATCATTACACTTCAAAATGGTTAAAATAAATTCTATTTTATCACAATAAAAAATTTTCAAAAAAAAAAAAAAAAAATCTAGTACAATGAAAATATCTAATACCAAAATCTCAACTTTAACTCTTCTTCCCTATTTTTCTGTGATAATCACTAACTGGGATTACAAATTCTCTCATCATTCAACAAATATTTATTGAGCTCATGCTACTTAAAAAAGAATAAGTGATAAATCTAATGAAACTGCATCAAAAAAATAAAAATTAAAAAGTACTGGAGAGTGAAGTGTTTGGTCATTTAGTATACATCCTTTGACAATAATTCCCTTTGTACTTCGTTGGTCTTTGATTTATCAGACTTGGCATTGGACTAAACTGCCGTGACCAATTCACTTAGATATAAGGTACAAATTTGGAAGCCTATGGCTGAATGATTTAAAAGAACCACACGATGCTAGTCATTCACTGTTAAGTACCTTCAGAGAAATCATTCCCAGTCATAATGTAAGGCTGGGTATTAAAAGTAAAGCAAAGTTCTGTGAAAGATGAAAGACTTCAAAGATAAACGTAACCATAATTTCAAAACTTATAGTATTCCAAGAATAATCACAACTATTTTTTACCTATTAAAATAGTGAATGCTTAGGGTTATTGATGAACCAGAAAAGATTTCTGATAACTCAACTTTCCTCCCCTAGGTCTATATAATTCCTTCTCTGAGTACATCTGGAAAGTCTGGGTTATTAAACAGAATAGATAAAGAGAAATTTTAAAAAAACACATACACAAATGGGGGGTATTCAGGAAATAAATAGTATTTTTTAACTTGAAAACTAGTTAAAACAGAAGTTATATGTTCTGTTTTAAGTTTAAAATAAAACTGTGACACTCCCAGCTATTTTGTTTCTGAAAATTTGTATTGTACAAGAAAATACCATTTTTAAAGAATAATAATAATAGCATCTAAGAGTTATTTCTGCTTTCTATGTGCCAGGTACTGGGCCAAGCATTTTTACACAACAGCTAACTGATTTCTCACTACTTTACAAAACACAGGTTATCACCGTTTCAAATCAGCAAATTGAAATCCAGAAAGGTTACATTTACTGGCCCAAGATCATAGCATAAAAAGAGCAGAGCCAGGATTCACATCCAGTGTAACACCAAAGGCCAAACTCTTAGCCACTACACTATGTTACTTTTCTAAAGTAAGTATTAAAGAAATTATTCTAGACATCAGGTCTATTCGAACACTGCTCACATTTAGGAATTTTAAATTCTCTTCTTACCAGCTATACATAAGGACAATTTCATCTAAATTTTAATCTGTTAATACTATGACCTCCAAGGGAACACTCCTGTAGCTTACAAAAAGGAAAACCACAATCTTTACAGTCTATGTGCTTCAACATATGCTCTGATGTAACTTCACAGTATGAGGAAATACCCTGACTAATGATTCCACACCAAATCTGTTTTTCAGGTATGAAACTAAATAGACTCAGAATAACAGGCTATTAAAAATAAAAAAGAAGAAATCTAAAATACAAAGTTTTAATGCTAAATATTATATCAAAGATTAGTCCTAAATAACAAAAACTAGTGTCTCATCAATCTCGTCAAAGTCATCTCATAGCAAACAATCAAAGGTAAGAGAGTTAAAGTAGACAGTCCCATATTCCTAATTTCAAACACACAGGTAGATCAGGGGAGCCCATCACACAGGTGAACATCTACAGCTGCCTAGCATCTCTGCAGCTCACATCCACTTGCCTCTCCTAGAGTCGTCCTCCTTAACCAAAGGAGATTTGCTGCTCGTTTGGTTGGATGCAATCAGGAACAACAATTAATGAAGCACTCTGTCCTTATAAAAAAGAATGTAAGCACTGGGAAAGAAAATATTTTCAGGAAATAAAAGCAACTGTACATAGCATTTAAAAACTGAATTCCTACCTTCACTTGGATATGTCTCTATCAAGTTACAAAACTCTCGATTATACCTCACACACAAGTAAGGCGATATTAACTATTTCCATTTAGCCTATAATATCAAATTACAGTTCTGTAGGTCACAAGTACCATTTCAACAAATCGTTTTTTAAATCAATATTATATGGATAAATAAGAGTTTTTTAGTTGTCAGGCCTTGATAAAAACACTGAAAACTAAGTTACTATACATAAATAAATTATAAGGTATGACACCATGATTTTTAGATTTTGATTTTTATGACCAATAAATTTTGAGACTTGGAAACTCAAATAGGGTTATTAGCAAATTTCAATGTTCCCAAATAAGGACTTGGATTATTTGCAAGTTCATCTACTATCACTATTTCACTAAAGCACATTTTAACTCAAAAAAAAGTAGACTAAAGAACAATTCTTAAAGTGAACAAATTTAGTTTTAGTTTACAAAGAACTAATGAAAAGTTTCTTGGGGCCAGCAATAGTATATGTGACAAGCATTTGAGACCCAGCTGTTTAGAGGAAGAACTGCTAGACTGAGTCGGTTTCCACTCACTAACTGCGTTAACATAGACAAAAACTCAGAATTTGGGTTTTCTCTTCTATGAAATGGAATACCCCACATATCTTACAGGGCTATTATGGGAATCATAGAATAAAATACACTGAAGTAGTTTGAAAATGTGACAAGTCACAGAAAAAGTCATCTAGACTGTACAACTTACCATCAGCTGACTGGGTAAACAATGCATAATCCGGATTGACTATCTCATTAGACAGAATATCAAACCACTCACGCACAACACCTTGACCCTGAGTTCAAGAAAATAAAATTAAGCATCAACAGAAACATATAAGACAGGGAAAGTTTTTGTAAATATAAAATCATATTAAATTTCTTCTATTATCAATTAAATATTAAATATTATTCAAGTGGATTTCAGTCCTTTATACAAAGTGATCTTCTCAGCACTTATTTTGTACCCACCATGCCTTCTTCTCCATGGAACCGTACAGCTATGCCTTGCTTTAGCTTTGCACAATTTGCTTTTGACACAACTTCACAGCTACTCCTAAAAATAGAATCTAAATATACAGTACTGGTTAATTTTACATATTACAATTTTCAAGAACTAGTAGTTTGGGCCTCACATACACAGCACTTCTTGGTTCAACATACCTCTGTGAACCAGCAGGATGTCGTTTTCATTCACCGGCCTGTGCACCATGTCTGAATCTGCTTGTCCTGAATGCAGGTGTTCATAGAACCATTCACAGCGATCTTTAAATGGCTATTCCAACAAATAACAGTAAAATATGTTAGTATTTCAGTCACCTATTAAATTCACTTAACTAGCATGCTAAATGCCCTTTCTACAAGTAATCATCTTTAGACCTTTATTTATAATAAGTACTTCCAGATAATGTCCTGACATTTCAACAACTATTCACAAAAAGGCAAAACTTAGCTGAAATACTTTGACTATCCAGAGAGTGTACTTATTAAAATTCCTTACATTTTCAACAGAAAAGACTTGATAAATTAGGTTATATCTAAGAACTTAGTGCTATATTTGTAATTAAACACATTTACTTCCAATTTCTTTTAAACACAACAAGGCTTATAAAAATGAATTTTCACATCCATAAAAATTATGTCACATGTTCCATTTAATTTGTCATGAAAATCTTTTACATTTAACTTTATTCTTATTTCTATTCTTTGAATATATGCAGCAACCAAAAAAGAATTAGTAACCCCCTTTTTTTCTTCCTTCCCCCTAAAAATTAAAGAATAAGATCTCTTAAACAGAAAAGAAATTCTCTACCCTTTGTTCATTTGCCAAATATGGAACTGCATGTGATTTGCAATTTTTTATGACTATTCAGAAAGTACTACTGAGTACCCAGCACGTGCCAACACTGCAGGTAACATAAGAGCTGTAAAAAAAATCTCAATTTATTTGCTCAACATTTTTTAATCCAGTTAAAGAGATGAGGCTAGCATTATAACACAATACACATATAATATTAAGTTCTAAACAGTGAAGTACAACAAACACAAGTGCATTAAGAATTCAGAGGAATTAAGAATCCTCTCAGAACTTTAGTTTTCCCACCTGTAAAATAGGGGAAATAATACTTTAAGGGATAATTGTGAGGATTAAGTTAAATAATGTAAATATAGAGCATAATAATAATGATAATCATAAATTAGCTTATGTTTATTAAAGCACCTATAAGCCAGGTACTGTTTTGAGCACTTGAGATACATTTTGACATGTAATCCTCACAACACCGTGAGGAAAAGGACTCTTATTATCCCCATTTAATAGAAGAAAAAAAATGCAACACCAAGATGTTAACTTGTAGAATACAGTACTCAACACCCAGAATGCTCAACGAAGAGGTGTTCTTACTATCACACATAACAATGTTAAAATTATTGTGAATAAGTATTTTAAATGACAGTAAACGTCCTTGCCATTATAAGATATTAAATATTAAACTATATCCTTCATCTATAAAATGTGAACCAAGAAATAAAAGCAAGTGGCAATGTTTTAAAGTAATTCAAAAGGAACACGAAAAAATACAAAATGCAACCTTCAAAAACCAATAAGGTATGTGTAAAATCAAAACATCCAAATACATATACACACACCTACAAAGCCAAAGGGCAAATTTTTGTATGTGAACTTTCTGAGTACCTGCATTTCCATAAAATAATTCACAAAACAGGACTGATTACAGAGGTTCCTCTGAATTAGCATTTGTACAGCAATACAAAATGCTTTTCCCATTAACTACAGGCCACCTGAAAACCGCCAACAGAACAAGAAGTCAATCCCTTAGCAGAGATAGTTCTTGTTTCTAACTTTTTTGTTTGGAATAGCCCCCAAGTTACAGAAAATTTCTAAGTGTAGAATACAAACTATTTCTTTTCATTGCCAACATGACGTCCAGTCACCTCTAAAAACTTCAGTGTGGCCCAGCCAGTGTGGCTCAGTGGCTGAGTGTCGACCCTTGCACAAAGAGGTCACCGGTTCAATTCCCAATCAGGGCACATGCCCAGGTTGCGGGCCGGATCCACGTAGGGGACAAGAAAAAAGCAGTCAATTGATGTTCTCTCTCATCAATGTTTCTCTCTCTCTCTCCTTCTCCTTTCCTCTCTCTCTAAAATTAACAAATAAAAAAAACATTAAAAAACAAAACACTTCACTGTGTATTTCCTACAAATAAGAAAATTCTTCTACATAACCAGAAAACCACCATCAAAATCAGAAAACTAATAGACACATATATAATCCTTAGCCCCAATTCAAGTTTTGTCAGTTTCCTAATAATGTCCTTTATAGCATCATGACTCATGAATTATTTTTAGTTGTCCTATCTCATTCTGATAGAGTTCTTCTGTGTTTTCTGAATGTTCATGACCTTCCAATATTGTATGTCCCAGCTGGAGCTAGTGTGACGTTTTACACGCAGGGTGTGCATCTCTGGCAGGAATGTTAAAGAAGTGATGCCATGCTCTTCTCCAAGCATCTTATTAGCTGGCACACTAATAGGCTTGCACTGATCACTGCCAAATGTGTCCACTGTCAAGTTTTTTTGTTTGTTTTATTTTAACCCTCACCTGAAGATATGTTTACTGATTTTGGGGGTGGGGGAGATAGAGAGAGAGACAGCAACAGAGAATATTGCCTCCCACATGTACCCCGACCAAGGATCGAACCCACAACCTAGGTATGTGCGCTGACCAGGAACTAAACACACAACCGTTTGGTATGTGGGACAACATGCCAACCAACCAAGCCACCTGGCCAGCACTTTGAAGGCCTTTTTTTAATCTTTGTAATTAGTAAATATTCCATGGGGAGATATTTTGAGACAGTAAAACTATCCCTCACATCATCAAACTTTCCATTTATTCATTAATTTTTTCAATACAGACTCATGAGTTGATTTTTTTTACAGTATTTTGCCATCATTATTTATTTATCTTGATGATCAAATTGTTCCAGATTTGGGCAGTGGAGTCCATCTGAGCTGGTTCTGAGTAATTTTCAATATAACATAATTCTTTAAACAGCTTTCTTGTACAATAAGATGCTCCAGGCTCATCTGTACTTTCCCTGACCCAGCCCTGGGTGCCCTGATTCTCTGAGAACAGTATTTAGAGACCAAGAACTGGGTGCCAGGCTTGCTACATCTATCTACGTTAAAAACTTAAGTTCACAATGCCATCTCCAATTCCAATCCAACAGCATGTGGTTCATTCTATCTCCCTCCACTCTGTAACTCCTTTCTCCAACAATGACAAACGAAGCTCCCAACATCTTTGCTATACTTACTTATTTGATCAACCTGTGTATAACCAGCATCCTATTGTTAACACGAACCCTTCACTGCACGCATGCCCTCCACCCCACTTGGGCTCTGTCGAACTTCTCTGAGCAACCGTCACCACCCTCCACACCACACCCCTCCATACGCCACTCCAACTCCCATACTCCATGCTGAGCCCTCTTCTACACAGACAACCCCTCACCACGCCCAGGCTCCAGACCCCACCGTGGAACACCACAGTGCTCGTGGACACCTTCCTCACCCGGTCAGGCAACAACATCCCCGCTGTGGGTCAAAAAGGTGGTAAGATGAATAGCTGAAGCAGATGCTTTCTGACTGAATTGTTCAGAAAGGGAGGGGTTAAAGGAAGTGAAAACAGAGACAGTATTAGAAAATAGCAAACTATCTCTTTTCTAAGTTTCTTTCACCCATGATCTCATTTACCCTAGACTGGGGTCACATAATGTAGGTTAAGAAATGAACTTAAGAACCAGACAGATTTTTAAATTCTGGTTCTCGCACTTAGTAGCTGAATGCCTTATACAACTTACTTAACCTCTTCAGCTTCCATAGGAGTACTGGCCTCACATGATTGTTACAAAAATAAAATAATCCACATTTAAATATATATGGTACCTGACCTAACGTTAGCATTCAATAAATGTAGGTTATAGTTACTACCTTCTCTTGTACATTATCATTATTAAACAGATGTCAAAGGATACTGAGAGACATATAATTTTATAAGATTTGGTTCTTAGCTTTAACTTCTGAAAGAGTTGGTGTCCCTAAAAACTTTTAAAAACACCTATAGTATTTATCCTATGACTACAAACCAGACCATAGCCTGTAGTCTATCCTACAATTCTAACAAATTGTTTCCTAAAATTTTGCGAGGATCATGTCATTCTCCTGAAGCAAAGCAATCAGTGGCTCCTGGCATCCTAACAAACAAAGATTCTTTAATCTGGCAACCAAGGTTTAACACAGGATGACCCAAATCTGCTTTTCCAGAATTATGTCTCATTGCTCACCTACACAGAATTCCTGCTTCAACCACGGCAGTTTTGTACACTTTTCTACCTACATGTCTGTATCTTGGCTAGCATGTTCATCTTGCCTATTTACTCTCTTCAAATTTTGCATGTTTTCAAGATCCAGTTTAAAATTCATCTCCTCTTTGAAATGTCCCTTGATTATAGCAGCCAGAAGCAAGTACTTCATCCCTTAAACACCTGAAGAACCAGGTAATACCGTAATTACTATCTTACAGGTACATTTATTATCTCCCCTGCTAGACTGAACTAAGATGCTCTTGGAGAAAGGATATATGTCTTCTACCTCGAAAACAACTATCATTAATTGAACATATATGCCAGTCACTATTTAAAACCTAGTCTTTACAATAGTTTTGAGGTTTATCTCTATTTTACAGAGGAAGAAACCAAGGCTCAAGGAAGCTGGAACTGTGCCCAAAGTCATATAGTTAAGTAGTAAAATAAGCTTTTCCTAACATTTTACATGAAACATGAAATATATGGAATGAACCCTAGCAGCGGTAAGATTCTCAGGTCAAATAAGTTTGGAGAATTAACAAAGTTAAATTACTATTTTTAGCAAAGGGCTTCTCAAAGCCTTTAATGAGATGCTGATAAACTTCATAAATCTCCAACAGGGCATATTTTTCCAAATGTATTAGGGAATAAAAGCCTTTTCTCAGGGACCATGAGCCTTATAGGATTAGTGTTCCATGAAACTCATTTAGGGAAATGTGGCAATATATTCTGTTGTCTTTGAATGGCCTCTGCACATAGTAGGGTCTCAATACACATTTATTTTTTTCTTTTCTTTTTTTTTTTTTGGTACATGCCCCTAGCAGGAACCGAACCTGGGACTCTCTGGTCCACAGGCTGACACTCCAACCACTGTGCCAAACCAGCCAGGGCAATACACATTTCTTAAAGAAGAAAAATTGCTCTTCATACTAAAGAAACATACTAACATAACTCCATATACTAAAGAATAAGGTAATTTCACTCCTTTATAGCAGGAAGTCTCACGTATAATAATTACTTCACTAAATAGTACTCATATTTAGAAAGTTAACTTTCATTAGACAGACTAAAAACAAGATTAAGAGAAATTTCTACCTGTGCTTTTATGATATGCATGAATCTTGACATCAACTCAGGACATTCAAGAAGGAAGTGAAAGTGGTCAAATATAATTTTGGGATTTCTGAAAGAAAAATAAAATACATTTTGTTTAAATGAACAGAAAGGATGACTAGCATTAAGCAAAATGCAGATTCAGATATATAGATACTGAAACAGAAGAATAACACATCTACTGTACTTCCACTTGTCACTGAACATTATTTTAATAGTTTGTTTAACAGAAGTAACATTTTTCTGTTGAGATGAAAACTATAAATAAAGAGAAGGCTATAAGGGCAGTTCATGAATCCAAGAAAGCCATACCTGTTAACAAAGCATTTTAAGACTTCATCGTGTTTGCAGACAAATTCAATGAAACGAGGTGAAGTCATTCTGTGGGGAGCAAAAAAAAAAATCTGAACACACATACAAAAATTGATGGTATGTATTGAACTGGTCTGGTTTCTAGACAAAAAATATTTGGGTTTGAATCATCTTTACAAATTTAAGAAATTGAGGCATGCCTAGTTAATCTTTAAGATGAAAAATACATACTTTTCATTGACATATAAACAAGTGACTTTTTAAAAACCTTGCATATTAAGCATCCCTGGTCTATATATTTCAAATACATAATAAAGTGATCCTACACAAAGGGCACTCAGCATTGTACATGCTAATAATTTATATAACGCTTATATTTTGAGCTAATTCTAGATCAGTACAATGAGTATCCTAAAACAAGATCAGAATATAACCTAAAATCAACAAATTACCAGTTGTTTTTACTAAAATTACACACACACAAAACTCAAAAACATAGCATCTATCAGAGCAGAAATAATAAGCATGTGGTAAGCCTTGACAGTTGGGCTTTCTGCTTTGTAACGCAAGCGCCTTCCTTAAGTTTTGGTTGCCAAGGCTTCCCGCTTCAAAGAGGCATACACTTCAAAGATGGCTATCTTTAATAAACACATTGCCAGCCACCCAACTAGATAAGAGCCAGGCCACCTTCCCCCACTGAGGCTCCTTTGTTTGAGAGATTTTGGTTGATTTCGAATAACTGACTACTGAGGCCACTTGTTTTTTTTCTTCCCACACTTTAAATTCCCACTCTTATGTTTTAAATTCACCAGTAAAGAGTGAGCACCAGAAACCCTCTACCTTCGACCCCCCAAAAAGCAGAATGCCAGGCCCATACCCACACGGCTTGTGCGCTAGCTCTCCTGTGGGCCCGCTCTCGCTCTTGCTCTCTCCCTGCGACCTCGCTGTGTGGCCCCAGGTGTGCCATGTAATTTCCAGACCTTGTAAGTAATAAACCTTTTTTTTTTTTCAAAGTTTCCTGATGGTTATTGCTGAAGGGCGCCTTGCGATCATAATAAGAACCACAAGGGCTGGTCCAGCCACCAGATTGGTTATTGATAGGCTGAGACCTGCACACAAAACAAAGCAGAAACCCTCTTACCCTGGAGGCATCTGACAAGAACAGCACATGTAAAAAGCTTGAATGACAGCACTTAGCCGGTTAGCTGTCATAGAAATAACATCCTGACAGTCTGCACTGGCTTCCTGTTTCCCTCCTAGAGCATCTGGTTTAGATTCCCTGGTGCCAGTGGATAGATTTTCATAGCTCCCAGGTCCTGGAGGTTCAAATGGAGGAATGGAAGTACCATCTTGATCTTGGCCTTTTTGTTTTAGTAAAATAGAAGTGATATCCGTTGAGTCTTTTTTGTTTTTCATCAGTTCTGTAGCTATTAAAACTAGCCATTCATCTAATGAGTGCCAAAGCAATTCGAGAGGCTAAGAGAAAAAGAAAAGGTTTTTTTAAAATATCATTCTGAAACTCCAGCCAAACAAATATAAAAGAGAAAATTTACTCTAGCTACTTCTATTTTCCCAAGTTAATGTGACAGCAGTGCCTATAGGTAAATAACAAAAAGATATGAATGTCATATAAATGATAATCTCTTCCTTTATAATGAAAACAATCTGCATTTATGCATTCCTTGGAATAAAAACGGAAAACTAAAACCTAACAAAAAATGTATAAGCAATCTTCTTTTAGAAGTGTTCAAATACTGTATTTAGTTTTAAAAGCATATATTACTTTTTTATATATAATACCCTTAGCCTTTACTGTATTAATGTGTCAACAATTTTCAATTATAAGTCTTTTTAAAATTTAAAAAGATAATTCCTAAAGAGCCTAAACAGCTTAGTTTACTGTGTTCTTTTCTTTATATCTTATCCCTAGAATTCTGAAAATTTAAGACAAGAAATTTAAAATATGGCATGACATAAATACACACACATGTATACATACATACATATGCTTATCAACGCACATATAAAATCCATCTCTAACAGACAGTAACTATCAAATACTGACTAGCAAATTCTTAATTCCAAGTAGAGACTAATAGCTTAAAAAAAGGAAGTGAACAATTTATTTCTACACTATTTAGAATATTCCTTTGGAAAAGAATTCCTGCCCTGGCCAGTTTGGCTCAGCGGTTAAGAGTGTCAGCCCACAGTCCAGAGAGACCCGGGTTCGGTTCCCGCAAGGGGCACGTGCCTTGGTTACAGTTTGTCCCCGGCCCTGGTTGGGGTTGTGTGGGAAGCGGCCACTCGATGTGTTGCTTTCACATGGATGTTTCTCTCTCTCTCTTCCTCTCTCTCCCTCACACTCTATCCAAAACAAAAATGGAAAAATGTCCTCGGGTGAGGATAAAAAAAAAAAAAAGAAAAGAAAAAGAATTCCTTTTGTAAACAACAAAGAAATTTTTATTTTTTTAAGTATTAAGGAATCTCAAATGCTACAACAGGACTAAATAGTAGAAAAGATGAAATATATTCATCATCTCTAATAATTAGTAGTTTTTAACACAAGCAGAAATATAAACTACTATTAAAAGACCTGAATCTAATGTACAGCAACATGGTACTATAGTTATCAATACTGTATCACATAATTGAATGCTGCTATGAGAGTAAAGCTTTAATGTTCTTACCATAACAATAATAAAATGATAATTATGTAAGGTGAAGTAGGCATTAACTAACCTTATTGTGATAAGTATTTGCAATATGTACATGTATCAAATCATCATATTGTATATCTTAAACTTATACAGTATTTCTGTCAATTATATCTCAATAAAGGTAGGAAAATAAGAACTCACAGGAATATTTTTAATCCCAAATAAAGGTTAACAACTGGTAGAGGCATAGTGGTTAAATGGGTCTTCATTCCTACACTATTTTAAATATTCCTATTGTGAATGATAAACTTTCTGAAAATGAATGTACATTATTTTATTTTTTTATTCATGTATGATCACAGAATGCTACAAACTAGGTCATGTATTTTGGAAAGACACACCCTTACATTATTTCAACTAAAAGAAATAATCTTACTTTTAAAGACCACTATGGGAAGAGATTAGGCAACCATATTTGAAACCTCTTCTGCCAGAAAATTATTTCCAATTATTATGTAACAAATCCCTCTGCTACATCTTCAGCCTTTCTTCAGGTTTCCATAATACTCTCTTTTTGAGAATATTTGACTAAATTTACAAAATATCAAATCACCCTTAAGTCTTCACTTAAATGTTAAACCAAAAAGTGAAAAACAAAATGGACTAAAAAAAAACCCATTACTATCAGCAAAAACCTAAAAAATGTTTTTTATCAACAAACATTTCATTAGTATGTACTAGGTCAACAGGTAAGCAAAGGGAGAAACTAATTATACCCTTTCTGAGATTGAAATTAACGTCCTTATCCCCCACAAGAGGGCTTTCCCATCATTAGAATGGAGATGAGCCTATGGCAGACAGCAACTGGAAGATTAAGGGTCCCTTAACCGCCATAAACATTGATATAAAATCCTCACTGAAATGTCCTTTTTTTTAATCTTCACCAGAGGATATGTTTACTGATTTTTTTATTGGTTTTTAGAGAGAGCAAAAGGGAGAGGGAGAGAGAGAAACACTGATCAGAACATCCATCAGCTGCCTCCTGCAAGCCCCACACGGGGGACGAAGCCCACAACCCAGGCACATACCTTGACCAGGAATCAAACAGGCAACCTTTCAGTGCACAGAACGACACCCAGCTAACTGAGACACACCAGCCAGGGCTATGTTTATTGATTTCAGAGTGAGAAGAAGGGAGGAAGGCAAAGAAAAAAAACATTGATTGATTGCTTCCCACATGTGCCCTGATCAGGAATAAAACCCACAACCTTTTGGTGTTTGCGACAATGCTCCAATCAACTGAACCACCCGGCCAGGGCTTCATGAAAATGTCTTGATTCTAATAATGATTCAAGGGTGAATAGTTTCAGTTCATGAGCAAAGCATTAAACCTGCTATAAAAGATGAAAATGAACTATGTCAACAAAACTATTTAGCTTTACATCAGAAAATGAACTTCCAAAATAGAAAGAACAGGTGTTAGTGATTAAAAAAGCTGCTTGAAACAAAGGAAAAAGGAATAATAGGCTTCTAAATGAGAAAGGCATAACCCTAGAAAACCAACACACTGGACGGAGATGAGCCTAGGGCAGGAAATGATACCTGCCGCTCATGCAGACGAGAGCACCGAGCCTGAACCTGTAACAATCCTATTTTCAAATACTGACAACGTGCAAAAATGAAAGGCAAATTTTGAATAATCTAGAATATTAAAAAAAAAAGTTTTCAATAAAGGAGCACAGTATACAATTTTAAAAAATGAGGGGAAAAAGAGAAGTAGTAAGTCATCTTAGGACTTTCTTTTCTCTCTTTTCCACCTTTTCTTTCTTCATTCATACATGCACTAAACCAAAATCCCAATCTTGAGGTACAGTCGTCCCTCGCCACTTGGCGCTTCGACTTTCGCGGCTTCACTCTATCGCGGTTTTTTCAAAGCGTGACATGGTGAGGGACGACTGTGTATAAAGAAAGAAGCTTACTTCGCGGAAATTCATTTATTGCAGTAGAGTCTGGAGCTGATTAACCGCGATAAATGAGAGCCGACTGTAGTTTTACCTAGGAAGTTGTCCCTCTGAAGATTTGTTCAGAAAATGCATTCCTCAACCACAAAAGAATACTGTGAAAATAATTTCTAACTATGGTAGCAGCCACAGATGAAAAAGATTATAATAAATATTAAAAATTAAAAATAAATCATTGCAAATCATATCAACAATGCTCTCTATACTCATAAATAATGATAAAAACATTAGATAAGATACAAAGCACTGTACATATCAACTGCTACTGAAAAATGAGTCAATATGGAAAATACGAGCTGGCTCCTCGGCATTGAAAATATTGCTTCATTTCATATTATTGAGTGATCTTCACCACAGAATTATATTCTCTCTATAGTAACAATGATGACAATCATATAAGATTTTCAAAACATTTCAAGTTGTATAGTAACAATGATGACAATCATATGATTTTCAAAACATTTCAAGTTGTATAGTAACAATGATGACAATCATATATGATTTTCAAAACATTTCAAGTTGTATTTCAAAGCTATAATATACAGTCCCAAGCTTGCTGAAATATTAAAAATTTTTCAAGATCCATGTGCCAAAGTGAGATACAAATTTGACAGGAAAGCATGACTAACTTAAGTGTATTAACAGAATCTTGAAATTCTGTTAGTCTGACTATTCTGTTTAATAATGCCAAATGTCACAGCCCCAAAGATCAGATCTTAAAGTTAAAAGTTTCTCGATCTTTCTTGGCTTCCAAATTTTCCCAATTATACTTCCATGAAACTGTTTAAATAGTTACCACTTACACCCTGGCCGGTTTGGCTCAGCGGTTAGAGCATCGGCCTGCGGTCCGGAGAGACCCGGGTTCGGTTCCCGCTAAGGGCACGTACTTCGGTTGCAGTTTGTCCCCGGCCCTGGTTGGTCGTGCGGGTGGCAGCCACTCGGTGTGTCCCTTCACGTCGATGTTTCTCTCTCTCTCTCCCTTCCTCTCTCTCCCTCCCACTCTATCTGTACAAAATATGGAAAAATATCCTCGGGTGAGGATAAAAAAAAAAAAGAAAAAAAAAAAATAGTTACCACTTACTATTCACAAAAACAGTGTATCGAGATTCAGGAAGCCTGAACTGTCTTCCCCACACTCACTCTGCTTCAGAACCAGAGTTGCCTTCTCCTTCAGGTGCTCTGAGGTTTCCAAGGCACTAGATAAAAATCTCTTAACACTGAAAAAAATGGCTAAGTGTTCAGATTAATTTAAAGGGGTTCTAAGATAAATGAAAAAACTAATAACAGGATGTTAAACAATTTCACCTACTAAAAACACATGGCTTATAAACCCATTCATTTTAATGGAAAACCCATTAGTTAATCTTAATAGAGTGACATGTTAGAATATCTAATTAATAAAATGAAAAGTAGGGATCAATTGCTACCTTAGACAAAATGTAGTAAAAATTAAAATGATATTTCCAATTTAACATTATAGCAACTCAGCAAATGTTTAAGATTTTTACAACTTAAATCAGAAGGCTTTATATACATAAATGACAATGTAAATTCTATTTTTATCCTTATAAGTGGGAGGGCAGATCACTTTGCCATCCTCTAAAGAATCACACTTAACTCATAAAATGAGATGAAAAGAAATTAATAGATTCCTTAAGAAAACTGTTGTTTAAAAAAATTAGCTGAGCCCACCCGGTGGGGCTCAGTGGTTGAGTGTCAACCCATCCACCAAGAGGTCGCCGGTTCGATTCCCGGTCAGGGCACATGCCCAGGTTGTGGGCCCAGTCCCCAGTGGGAGGAATGCAGGAGGCAGCCAATTGATGTTCTCTCTCATCGATGTTTCTATCTTTCTCTCCCTCTCACTTCCTCTCTCTCTAAAATCAATAAAGAAAAAAAAAACATTTTTTTTTAATCCTCACTGAGGACACTTTTGCACTTGTGAGAGTGGGAGGGAGAGAGGAAGAGAGAGAGAGAGAAACATTGATGTGAGAAAGACACATCGACTGGTTGCTAACCACATGACCCCAACTGGGGCCAGAGACAAACTGCAACCAAAGTACGTGCCCTTAGCAGGAACCGAACCCGGGATTCTCCAGTCTGCAAGCCAACGCTCTAACCGCTGAGCCAAACCGGCCAGGGCAAGAAAAAAAAATTTTTTTTTAATTAGCTGAGTTTTATAATAAAAATGTTTTTAAAAAGTGACAGATCAAAATTTAAGAGAAAATAAGTGATCAGAGGCAAAAGCAGTTGTCAATAATGCAGAAAATGCCTTAAAAATGAAATGAAAATACTACGTAAAATAAAAGTAAGTGTGTATGTATGTGTGTATGTGTGTATGTGTATAATTGATATAATTGAACCAAAACACTTGATGATTCTGGATTCCACTTAAAAAAAATAAAAGAAAAACAGTGATATCTTTTTCTACTCAGTTATATCCATACTGACTGGGTAGGTAGTAAACTAATATAAGCATTAAATGCCTATAGAGAGGCTATTCAGCACATACTTATTTTCTGATATCATTAGCAAATAGATGGCAAACTCTAATTTTAACCAAAAAAAAAAAAAATCAGACAATGGTGAACAAAAATAATGGTAACCATATCTGTACCTAATTTGATTTTTCTATTCATCATTATAAATCAGTAGCAAGAATGAGTAATCAAAACAAACTCAGTAACAGCATAAGCCACACCAAAACAAGTTAAGAACAATTCCGTGTAATGTGAAAGTTTAAGCAGTAAAACTCACTTAAAACAGCATTGAAAAAATAATGAATCAAAATTTAGATTTGAATTTTACAAAGACAAAAATTATCACTCCTAACTAATGTTCAAGGAAGTGGTATGTGAAAAGCCAAAATTGGAATTACAAGAAGATGCATAACTTCCTTCTTCCAGGAGGTGGCACAACAGGGAAAGAAAAAAGAAGGGGAAAGAAAATCGAAGGGGAAAAAAGACAGTGAAAACTCTTTCCTACACTAATTAAAAAAGAGAGAGAGCATGAAGCAGACAAATAGATGCAGAGATATTTATACGTACCTTCCTACAGGCTATCATAGCTATCCTAAGTATTGAAAAATCTACTAGTGTCACAATGCTTGCAAACCATTTGTTTGTGCCCACTAAAAATTTTCCATGTAAGACTCATTTAGTGTAATTCACTAATTTAATTTTTAATTTTTACAGGCAGTAAAGCTGTCAATCATAATTAGCTTTGGAGAAAGTGGCACATAAAAGCGGTTTTATCACTTTTTGGATAGAGAACCTATATTTATACTCAAACGATTGTTTAAAGAAATATGTATTTATGAACCCCAAAGCAAATCTTATACTATGAAATTGTCTTAAGATAAATTACCTTTAAAAAAAATTACATGGAAAGTTATTAAATTACATTTGTCCAAAATCTGAGTTATCTGAAAATATAATGCCATAAAGAAAAGCATTAATAATAGCAGTCACAGCCATGTTCATTTGGTTTACTTCATAAAATTATAATTTAACATGAGTAGCAACAATGCCTTGGGTTTTACATGGAATCATTCTTCCAAGGATCTCATCCATAAATGTGCTTGTATAAAAGAAGCAACTGAAGTAATACAAAATGTTTTAACAAAACACGTATCTCAATGATTCTTGAAGTGATCCCAGGAATTAACTGTTGGTAAACCCAGTAACTGAAAGTAACCTTACTTTTAAAACATATACAGTCGTCCCTCATTTATTGCGGTTAATCTATTCCAGATTCTAGCAGTTGCCTCTGGCGTTGAAGGATTCCTGGGGTGCTCGAATACATAGGCTTACAGTCCATACATACAATAATTTTAATTTTAATTGTAATAGAGGGGCATATAATTGACTCAGACCAAGCACGCGCTGTATCATTTTCACTGTCTCAATCAACTTTTTAATGAATATATTTGAAAAAAACACAATAGAGTGAAGCCGCGGAAGTCAAAGCGCAAAGTGGCGAGGGACGACTGTACATGCACACACATAATAATAAAATCTAAATAAAAACTGAACAGTTTCTTTCCTTCTGAATAAGTAGTATTTTTTTAAAAGCATAATGGCTAAATACTGACACCTGAAAAACCTAAACTCCAATAAAAATTTAGATTTAATTAGATTTAAATATTAAATATCTTTACCCTTAGAATAAAACACTAATGGGCTTAAAATTTTACTTGTTAAGAAAAACATAAAAGCTCACCAATTAACACTTGCTGTTGACTAAACAGGGATGAAAGGAGGAAGGTGTGTGCCTAACTTAAAAAGTGATATGGGTATGAACCAAACTTACGTCCTGGGTATGAGGTTTCTGATTAATGAATGCATGCTTTGTCAAATTCATCTCTTTTACGTCTATCTTCATAACAACGTCATATACTTTTCTGACCTTGAACACCTGGCTTCTTGGAGTTTTATTCCCGTTGTAGCCCATATCGATTCCATTACTGGGAGAGGATGGACCAATTCGAAAGACATGACAAAATATCCTCACAATCCTTAAAAGGCTCTTCATTTGAGCATCATAATTACTAGACAGGCTAAAAATAAAAATTAAAATATGGATAGATTAGATGGATTAAAACAAATTTCATCTTAAAATATCTATTTTAAAACATCTTCATCAATTGGCCATCTGTTTTGTTCCATAACATAAGTAAAATTCCTTTCCTATCATGATAGAGGACAGAATGTTTTAACAGGAAATCACCAAATATATATTACATGGATTGCACATGAATAAATTATTTTTAAGCCACCAGAATATAACCAATGCTCAAAGCATAAAATATGAAGAAAATCACCACTGTAGAACAGTTGGTTTCTTGAGAAACCAACTATAAGGCAATCTCCAATTTTCACCTCCAAAAGTATATTCTTAAATCAAACTGATTCTTTAGAACTGAGAGTATTTCACAGAGAAGCAATGGTAGAAGTGCTGATCTGGCCAACCCATAACTCAGTTGTATAGGCTGAACTCTCTACTACTCTATCCATAACCCATTTCCTCTTCCCACCCCAGAATAATAACCATTTTTTTCACATACAGAACATTCACAAATTGAACAATCTTAAAGATACTATCTGTGTTAGGGTGGTTCTCAATATAATGGGCTGTCTTAGGACTCTATATAAATATAGGAAATATACCCCACTATAAACAAAAAGACTCAAATCCAATTCACACTAAACTATATTGAATATAAACTTTCTTTGACAAATCACAAAACCCGTCAAAATCCCATAGTGCCTGGGGATTGGTCATCATCATAAACATAAATCATTACTCTTCCACAGAAAAACTGTAGGGGACAGTCTAAATCTGTATTGAATCTAATGTTAGATATTTTAAGACGTTTGTTGTTGATTAGGGGTTGATTTTATTTCAAAATCTCTAACATTAGTTATCTTGTATTACAACAGCTACACAAAAGCAGAGTAAAGAGTTGCATAAAATTTTGGGCAGAATGATATGATTGTCTTTGTATAAAATTATTAAAGCTTATCCTCTCTTCCCCTAAGTGCATTTTATCCAGTTCATTAACATCTTCCTCTATGATATTTTTAGATGTCTTTTAACACTAAAAAAAAAGTATTAGAAATGTAGAAATAGCAAATGTCTATTTCTAGGTATTTCGATTTGGTGGTAAGCACCATATCAGAGAGTATTCCTATCTCTCTAACTTGACATGTCAACCAAAATTTCCTGACATTTTCACTTCAATACTTGGCTATTGCTTTCTCATTCTAAGAATTAGTAAATTAGTAAACAAAGCCAATAAAAATGAGCTATCAGTTACAAGTTATAACAGCTACTGACTGGGACAGCTATGGCATATGGCGAAACTTTGTGTTTCAATAACTTTGAATCAAATATGTATTGAATCATTAGTTTTGCTTGCACTGATTTTTTTACATATTTGTCTTTACTAAGGTATTTCTAATTTTATATCATAAGATTGTTGAGACTGACAAAATAGTAAGATTGTCTGGTTGAAAATACTTCTTTTATTGTTGCAACTCTTGGAAACATAAACTACAATGGCTCTCGAATTCTTCTCCATGAGAAAGATGTGATTTGATTTTACACTGCAAAATTACTACAAATATATAAATATTTATTTTAAGTACCAGATCTGGAGTTATCTTAAGGTAAGAAGTATTTTCTTACAATAAAATCTTAAAATTATCAAGTATTAATATAGCCTATTACTTTTATATTACTCTACCCAGTTTAAACTTCTTCCAAGCTGACTGCTTAGTCTAAAAAAATGTTATTTTTCACTTTCCAACCAGTGAAATATCTCTTTAGTATGATGCAAAAAGATCATAAAATCCAAACTTCACCATACCCTTCCCAGTTGATCATAAAATTTCTTTCCAAGCCACCAGGACTCAATATAAAAGTTTAAAATTAGTTTCCTAATTTAAAGCCCTATCTACCTACTTTGGTTGTTACAGGAGAGTACACCTCCATTCAGTGTCCTCCTAGCAAAGGCTGGGATTTCTCTGTTCATTTGCATATCTTTACCTTCAATCATAAATATATAGAAAGATAACATGTATTTAAGGAAACAAAATAATATGTAAAAAGGCCCTTAGTAAATATTTATTTTTTTATCAAATATTCCTAGGATCAGTTAGACAAAAGTCTATTCATTTTTCCAAAAGTGTGTTACATAACATCTCAATTGTCACTAATTTATATATATATATATAAACCCATTATTTTCATAATTAAAATTTCTATTAAAGTAAATGGCCAGAATTACATCACATTGTGTGTTAAGAAACATAAAATGATTCACAAATAAGTGAACAAAAGAAAGACAATCTGCAAAAATACCATTAAACATAACTAATATAATATTAAATGTCAATTATAATTTATGAAATTTTTAAAAATTACATACCATTAAACATAAATTGGAAGGGTGAAATACTTGTATTTAAGATCCTCTTAGGATCTGTGAGATCCTCTTAGTAGCTGTGAGATAACAGAAAATATATCTATCGGTCTCTGCCCCCAGTTCTAGGCACAGAGCTCCTAAAACCTTATAATTTCCTATGTGATTAGAGTAGCAGGAACATCTTTTGTTCTAATATTTAGTCCTTGATGTCAATTCCTAACACAGAGATCCTAAATCTCTTAAGAGTTTCCTGCATGACAGCAGTATCTTTTGTTCTACTGAGGTGACTCTTGGTGGGCTCCAAGATGGATGTTCACCAGAGAGGCCAAGCCATGATTAGAAACGTGGAATTTTCAGCCCCCTCCACATACGTTCTCCAGAAAGAGGAGAGGGGCTGAAAAAGGTGCTAATGATCCACATGCCTATGTGACGAAGGCTCCATAAAAAGCCAAAAAATATGGGGTGCAGGAAGCATCCAGGTTGATGAATATATCCATGTACCAAAAGGGTAACATACCTCAACTCTGTGGGGACAGAAGCTCCTGTGCTCAGGACCCTCCCAGACCTTGCCCTAAGTATCTGGTTGTTCACCTATATCCTTTATCATATCCTTCAATAAATTAGTAAATGTGTTTCCCTGAATTTTGTGAACTGTTCTAGGAAATAATCAAATCTAAGGGGGAGAAGGTCATCAGAGTCTCCGCTTTGCATTCAAGTCAGACAAAAGTTATGGATATAACCTGGAACCAACTACTTGGGAGTAACATCTGAAATGTGTATGTAGGGGGGGAGCCCTTAACCTGTGGGAACTGATGCTATCTCTAGGTAGCTAGTGTCAGAATTGATTTAAATTGTAGGACATCCATCTAGTGTTGCAGAATTGCTTGGTGTAAGGAATAAAAGCCCACACATCTGGTGTCAGAAGTATTGTGAGTGTCACAGTGATATGAGAGTAAAGGAGAAATACAGAAGGAGGACTAGGATTTCTCAAAACAGGAGCAATAAATTCTAACAATACTAATAAGCAATATTCACTACTGATCTCAACAAAGAGGTTTTTACAAGTCAAAAGGTCATAATAACAGATTCTATAAAGCATTTGAATAGTAGCATTGTAAGGGGCAAGACATTACAGTTTAGCAAAGTAGCTTTAAAACTTATACTGGCGAGACTTCGGGTCAAGATGGCGGGTAGGTAAACGCGGTATCGCGTCCTCCCACAACCACATCAAAGTTACAACTAACTACAGAACAACCATCATTCAAAACCGCCTGAAATCAAGCTGAATGGAAGTCCTACAACTACGGAATTAAAGCAGCAGCCACATCCAGACTGGTAGGAGGGGCGGAGGGGCGGCACGACGGGCTGGTCCCACACCCACGTGTGGCAGATAAAAATCAGGAGGACACCTCGGCTGGGAAGGTCCTTCCTGAGGACTGAGAGGTCCCCGTCCCACACCAGGTGCCCCACTCAGGGTTCCAGTGCCAGGAAGAGAAGTCCCCATAACTTCTGGCTGGAAAAACCAGCGGGAACTGAGGCTCAGGGAGGCTGAAGCGGCTGCAGCCCCAGGCAGCTCCTTAAAGGGCCCGCGCACGGACTTATCGGACTCTCTCCCTCTAAGCTTGGAGGGGAGGCAGCTCGAGGAGCACCAGAGACATACAGGGAAAAACTGAGCTGTTTGGCACTGGAGCGAGGGCTGGAGAGGGGGCTTTCTCCTGGACAAACATGCTATCAGAGGCCTTTGTTCCTTTGGTGAGCCCTTCCCTGGGGCGGCAGACTGTCGCCATATCTGGGACTCCAGCAACCTGGCTCACACTGGTTGCCCCGCCCTGCTGACTCCCTGAGGCCCCGCCCCGCCCCGCACAACTTTCAGGCCCACCCAAGCTGTTGCCACTTGCTTAACCATAGGATTGGCCTGTCTTAGATCCTGCTTCAGGTTTTTCCTAAATTCTTTCAAATGAGCAGTATCTGGTCTCAGCGAGCCCCATACCTCTCATTAAGTAATACACAGAAACAAACACAGGGAGGCAGCCAAAATGAGGAGACAAAGAAACAGGTCCCAAATGAAAGAACAGAACAAAACCCTAGGAAAAGAACTAGGTGAAATGGAGATAAGCAACCTAACAGATGCTGAGTTCAAAATACTGCTTATAAGGATGCTCAATGAACTCAGTGAGAACCTCAGTGAACTTAGGGAGGGCCTCAAGAGCATAAAAAAGGACCAGTCAGGCCCTGGCCAGTTTGGCTCAGCGGTTAAAAGCGTCGGCCTGCGGTCCAGAGAGACCCGGGTTCGGTTCCCGCTAAGGGCACGTACTTCGGTTGCAGTTTGTCCCCGGCCCTGGTTGGTCGTGCGGGTGGCGGCCACTCGATGTGTCCCTTTACGTCGATGTTTCTCTCTCTCTCTCCCTTCCTCTCTCTCCCTCCCACTCTGTCTGTACAAAAAAATGGAAAAATATCCTCGGGTGAGGATAAAAAAAAAATTAAAAAAAAAAAAAAAGGACCAGTCAGAAATCATGGATACACAGTTAGAATTGAAGGAGGCATTAACTGAAATAAAGAATAATTTACACAGCTTCAATAATAGAGTATGTAAATCCAAGGAGCAAACCATCGATTTGGAATATAAGGAACCAAAAAATGCCCAATCAGAACAGCAAAAAGAAAAAAGAATCCAAAATAATGAGGATAGTGTAAGGAGCCTCTGGGACAACTTCAAGCGTGCCAACATTCGCATCTTGGGGGTGCCGGAAGGAGAAGAGCGAGAACAAGAAATCGAAAACCTGTTTGAAACAATAATAGCAGAAAACTTTCCTAACTTGGTGAAGGAAACAGACATACAAGTCCAGGAAGCACAGAGAGTCCCCAACAAGATGAACCCCAAGAGGTCCACACCAAGACACATCATCAGCAAAATGCAAAAGGTTCAAGACAAAGAGAGAATCTTAAAAGCAGCAAGAGAGCCCTGGCCAGTTTGGCTCAGCGGTTAGAGCGTCGGCCTGCGGTCCGGAGAGACCCGGGTTCGCTTCCCGCTAAGGGCACGTACTTCGGTTGCAGTTTGTCCTCGGCCCTGGTTGGTCATGCAGGTGGCAGCCACTCGATGTGTCCCTTCATGTCGATGTTTCACTCTCTCTCTCCCTCCCACTCTATCTGTATAAAAAATGGAAAAATATCCTCGGGTGAGGAAAAAAAAAAAAGCAGCAAGAGAAAGGCAGCTAGTTACCTACAAGGGAGTTCCCATTAGGCTGTCAGCTGATTTCTCAAAAGAAACTTTGCAGGCCAGAAGGGAGTGGCAAGAAATATTCAGAGTGATGCAAAACAAGAACCTACAACCAAGATTACTCTATCCTGCAAAGCTGTCATTTAGAATCGATGGACATATAAAAACTTTCCCAGACAAGAAAAAATTAGAGGAGTTCATCACCACCAAACCATTATTATATGAAATGATGAAGGGTCTTTTTGAAGAAAAAGATAAAATATATGAACAAACAAAATGGCAATGAATACATATCTATCAACAATGGAATCTACAAAGAAAATGAACAGGTAGAACAGAAACATTCTCATAGATACAGAGAACATTTTGTTGGTTGCCAGTTGGGAAGGGGGTTGGGGGAATGGGTGAAAAGGGTGAAGGGATTAAGAAGTACGAATTCATTGCTAGACTGACAAACCTCAAAGGGAAAGGGGTTGGGGGGGGTGGGAAGAAATAAACCAAAGAACTTATATGCATAACCAATGGACACAGACAATAGTGTGGGAAAAGGTGGGAGGGGGGCGGGAGTGAGGAGGAGGGGTCAATGGGGGAAAATGTGGAACATCTGTAATACATTTTACATCCAACAATAAAGATTAAAAAAAAAAAAAAATACTGGCAATAGAGCCCTGTTTCTCCTGTTCCACTGATGTCCCTGTCATTTTTTTAAGAGCTAGATTGGAACCTAGGATCTGCTTTTTTTAAGTGAGGGTATAAATCCTGGATCTTCTATGCGTTATCTTGGTACATCATTGAACTTCACAATTTCCTTATATGTAAAATGGAGATAACAATATCTAAACCACCAAGTTACTATGAGGTTTAAATAAAAGAATGTATTTGAATGTTCCTTAGCTTAGTACCCACTTAATAAGTGTTAAAGGTGAACTTAAAATAAAAACATACACACATAGTTAAAAACATAAATGCTTTCTGATTACTGCACAAGAGTAGAAAATAGAACAAAGATTTAAGCAGAAAAAAACAAGTAACTTCTAATGTCAGAAAACAGGTTAAAGGCATTATGGGAGTATTTAAAATAATCATCATTATCTCTAGCACTTTCCATTTATATTATCACCAACGTCATCATCATAATTTTCTCTGCTATGCGCCAGACACTGTGCTTGGCACTTTACAGCACCTTATTATTTCATTCTTACAATAATTCATTAAGATATTTACTACCATTTTCCAATAAGGAAATAAAATCCTGATTGGACTGTAAATTAAACATAGGGAGAGATCTTTCCTGCATTATTCACAGACAGCCTAGTGAATAACAGGCACACAAAAACTAAGTATTAGATGGGTGGGTGGATGATGAAGGGAAACTCCAAAAAGTTACTTGCTGAGGTCACAGTAAATGGTGATATCTGATTCACAGCTGAGTCTGGTGTCAATGCTTTTACTTAGTATATCTAAATCTTAGAAAGTCCTTATCCAATAAACGGATTAATGGAAATAACTAAAAAGGACAGCACTATGTCAAGCTGGAATTCAATGACTCTTTCAGAATCTAAAGTAGTCTCAGAGACAGAAACAGATTTTTTTTTTAATTGGCAAATGGTATACAGAGTAAAACTACTGAAAAAAGAATGGCTACAAAAACACAAGAAAGTGACCTTGGTACCATGAGGTATAAGGAGCCTAGCAAAGATCCTTCTGAGTAAATAGTACAGAATGTGATTCTGGCCCTGGCCGGTTTGGCTCAGCAGTTAGAGCGTCGGCCTGCAGTCCAGAGAGACTCAGGTTCGGTTCCCGCTAAGGGCACATACCTTGTTTGCAGTTTGTCCCCGGCCCTGGTTGGGTCGTGTGGGAGGCAGCCACTCAATGTGTCCCTTTCACATCCATGTTTCTTTCTTTCTCTCTCTCTCTCTCTCTCTCTCTCTCTCTCTCTCTCTCTCCCTCCCTCCCTCCCTCCCTCCCACTCCATCTGAACAAAAAATAGAAAAATGTCCCGGGAGAGGATAAAAAAAAAAAATGTGATTCTGGTCTGAAGTATATGTAAAGTATGAGGAAGACAGAAAAAAAATGGCTAACACGAGATGTGACAACATAGTTGATTTACAGAAGCAGCAGGTAGTTGGAAGGAAGAAATCCAGTTGCAACTAACAGGAAGGAGAAGTCCATGACCTATTAAGACTATCAGTGTATTAAGAATAGAAGTGGCCCTGGCCAGTTTGGCTCAGTGGTTAGAGCGTCGGCCTGCGGTCCGGAGAGACCCAGGTTCGGTTCCCGCTAAGGGCACGTGCTTCGGTTGCAGTTTGTCCCCGGCCCTGGTTGGTCGTGTGGGTGGCAGCCACTCGATGTGTCCCTTCACGTCGATGTTTCTTTCTCTCTCTCCCTCCCATTCTATCTGTACAAAAAATGGAAAAATATCCTCGGGTGAGGATAAAAAAAAAAAAAAGAATAGAAGAGAAAAGACTATTACAAAGTAGAAAACATCCAAATTAAAAGGGGACCAAATCTGCAAGCTACAAAATAACACATTTACCATTTGTAAATGGCTGTTTAATCCTAATTGGAGATAATCACATACAAAGAAGTATAGTGTAAAATGTAATATATATAAATGAAAATACTATAAAGGCATTAACTCCATGGACTTAGAGATGAGCTGTTAAAATCACGTGATTTTTAGAAAGAATGAAGAACTGGAAAGGGGTAGAGTTCAAGAAGAACATTTTATAAGGAATTATAACTGCACAGAGAGGCTGAACACCAGCTTATACCAATTTTATATAGTAGTGATCAAGATTTCTCAACTTTTTTTTTTTTTTTTTTGCATTTATCTTTAGATAGAGTGGGAGGGAGAGAGGGAGAAAGAGAGAGAGAGAGAGACACATTGACTGGGTGCCACCCCACAGCACCCAAACTGGGGCCGGGGACGTACTGCAACTGAGTTATGTGCCCTTAGCGGAACCAGGGACTCTCTGGTCCGCGGGCCAACACTCTAACCGCTGAGCCAAACCGGCCAGGGCTCAACTACTTTCTCGATTCTTCTTTATGCACATTTTACTTACATGATTGTTCTAAGCAATAATTTTATAAAATTCTAGACATATATACCCAAATCCACTTAAGTAAGTCTCTAGTTTTAGTCTCTTTAGGGAGACTAAAGTCTCCTTAGTAAAAGTTGATTGTCCTGGCCCTTTAAACCAAAACATACAATGATATGCCAGCAAATTTTTAGAACACCTTACCACTGACCACCTTACCATGACCAAATTTTTAGAACACCTTACCACTGACCAAAGGAATCCAACAAAGTAAACTATTCCCATGAAAAGCCTAAAAGGAGACAAAGCTGACAGACATTGCTACCTATTGATCTGTTTATATTTTGAAACACTTACCTAAGCAGTTTATGACCATTTGTTGTGGCAACTTCAGCAAGGCTTGTTAAAATCTTTAGGTACTGGCTTTCACTTTGCTGAGACAAATGTTCTAGAACTTGCCGTAACTAAATTTTTTACAAATAAGAAAAAAATGTGATTATATAATAATTCATTAAACTTTATTATGAAATTAAGTACCTATTAGTTTAATAAGTATACCCAAGCTGATTAGCTGAAATCAAGTCCTATACAGTTTTGTCTTGCATAAATTCAAGTTAATATAGAGATGACATAAAATTTTTGTTCAAAATCACCAAGAAAGCAATCAAAATATAAATAGAACAGAAATCACCAAATTTATAGAAATTTAATTCTAAAATTTAAGAGAAATTTAAATGTTGCAATTTTCAAAGAGTAGAGCACAATAAACTAGTCATTACCAATCATAACATGATATTCCTCCTTAGATTCTTTTCCTCCAGCTATAGGGAATATCCTAATTATTTTTAGGAGAGATCAAAAACCCAGAGGAAAGAAGATTCATAGGGCCAAATATAAGCACAGAGTTTATTAATTATTATATAATTCATACTTATCCTATAATGCTGATAAGCAAATTTACTATATTATAAATAGTAAAATGTTTATAATATAGTATCTATATATTACTTATAATATACTTATTTACAAAGTAATATAATATTATTATATTGTAATATTGTAAAATAAAGAAACACATTTGTAAACTGCCATATATATTAAGCACGCATGCAAAAAGCTTGTTCATTTACAGGCTACTAGCACAATTACATCACCATGTTTTCCCGGAGATCTTCATTCTGTGTCATTTGAATAATTGTCTGGAAAAGCCTAGGGTGATATTGAATTAATACTTCACAGGTCTCTCCATATCCACCCTAAAAAATATACTTAAAATTATCTAGGTTTAAAAACAAAGTTCCTAAAGAAAAATTTGTAGAGTCCACAGGTTAGGAGCTTATTCTCACAAGAATGACCTCACTTCAGGCAATCACACAAGTTCATGCCACCTGTACTTCTGGCTATCCAGCTACAAGTTCAGGGGTTCCCACAACGCCCTCCTTGGGCTTGATAATTTGCTTGAGGGGCTCACAGCACTGAGGGAAACACTTCATTATTGCCTATTCATTATAAAGGATACAACGTGGGAACAGCCAAATGGAAAAGATTCATAGGGCAAGGTATGTGGGAAGTGGCTTAGAGCTTCCATGCCCTCTCTGGGCATCTAACCACCACTGCCCCCCGGAACTTTGAAGTATTCAATGACCCAGAAACTCTCTGATAGCCCCACTGTTTGGGGTTTTGGGGAAGTTCCATTATACAGGCATGCCTGATTAAATTATTGGTCATCAGTGACTGCATTCAAGCTCCAGCCCCTCTCCGCTCCCCGGAAGTAGAGGAAGAGGCTGCCTTCTAATCACACAGTTGGCTCCTCTGGCAACTAGCCCACTTCCTGGAGCTAACTAGGGGCTTTCAGTTACCAGTCATCTCAAATGCAAAAAGACATTCTTATTCTTACACTCTGGAGATCACAAAGATCTTGGAAGCTCTTGTGTCATAAACTGGGATCAAGACCAATATATGTTTCTTATATCACAGTTCCTTTCAAAGAGCATATGTTTCACCCTGGCCAGTTTGGCTCAGCGGTTAGAGAGTCGGCCCTCAGACCAAAGAGTCCAGGGTTCGATTCCAGTCAAGGGCACATACCTCGATTGCAGTTCGTTCCCTGGCCCTGGTCAGGTCGGGTGGGAGGCAACCAATCGATGTGTCTCTCTCACATTGATGCTTCTCTCTGTCTCTCTCTCCCTCCCACTCTACCTGAAGATAAATGGAAAAATATCCTCGAGTGAGGATTTAAAAAATAAATAAAGAGCATATGCTACACAGAATAAAAATCTTTGTACCCACCCTCTCATTTGAGAAAAAAAAAATTTTTTATTTTACTAGTCTCTAATATAAACTAAGGGGACAGGAATAGACATTAACAAACAACACACCTGTACACACAAATCCAGAGGGGTTACTCCATTTTTATCTGGCAGATATTTGGCTCCTCGTAATAAAAGTATCTGTGCTGTGTCCCTCTGACCATGACTGTAAAGAGATCCCAGTTAAAAATATAATCGTTTTAAGTTAAAGTCTTTCTCCATGAATTATGGATAGTTAATATGAATCAACAGAGGATTAATTTTTTTAAAATGAAAGGAAGATCTGAACTACATGCTCAACAAGCAGGAAAACATTTCTCAATGTTAAGTCACACTTTCACTATGTAGATAAGAAAATGACCTATTAAATCTTAGAATTGAACTTGGGACACACTGCCTACAATAAATCATAATACTTTGGGATAAGTAGCTACTACTCAGGCTTATGCTTTAGTTTTTTCTTCCAGTCACTTCCTTCTCAACTCTAACCAGAACATCTTCCTACCACACATATCCAAAAGAACCTCAATACTCAAAATAAGAATATATTGGATGGCACTTTAATACTTGGTAAAAAAAAAAAAAAAAAATTAAAATGAAGAAAAGAGAAAAAAATATCAAATTAAGAGAATGGGGGAGGGGAGGAGTCAGTTAGCCAAAAATACCATCTAGCTTCCAATCTTCATTTCATCGACCCACTCAGTTTGGCTTCTGCTGACAACTGTTCAGTCTGACCTGGAAGGGACAACCCCTTTATCCACATGCCCCATCCTCTCCAGCTGCTCTCTTTCTAGTAGGAGTGAAATGAGCAACACCGCTCTTTCAGCAAGGAGACAGTTTATTTAGGAGTAGCAACCACTAGACTCTAGGTTTGTTACTCAATGAGTTCATCTGATTCTAGATACAGAAAATATATAATAAATTTACAATTCAGGGACATTAAAGTTTAAAGCTAATTTCACAAACTTCCCAAAGAAGTTATAAACTTAGGAAGAATATCTGATAAAAAAATTTTATTTTGTACATGACAAAAGCTACTACCTCAAGCACAAGTGAAACTAGAACTCAGATCTCTCTGGTCTTCTAGACCATACCCTTTCCACAATACCTAAAAAGAATGTCATTTCACAAAGAGAAAGGCTACAGAGATTTCTTTGAACCTTAAAAAAAAATATGTATTTATTCTTTATTCTATTTTACAAAATGATGCTGCATAAAGTATAATTTATAACCAACTAGAATTAAAGATTTAAAAATAGGATCCTACTATAAATCTGGTGGCAGATAATAATAGTTCTCTCTCGATACTTTATTGTTAAACTTATTACCTTCCTTAATATAAATATCAATAGGCCCAAACTAACTTAAGAACAAGATCTAAACCACTAAGCTATACACCCCAAACCAATACAATTAAAATTATTTTTAAAAAGAACAATCTATTGCCCGGCTGCTATAGCTCAGTGGTTGAAGGTCGACCCATGCACCAAGAGGTCACCGGTTCAATTCCCGGTGAGGGCACATGTCCAAGTTGTAGGCCGGATCCCCTGTTGGGGGCATGCAGGAGGCAGCCAATCAATGTTCTCTCTCATCGATGTTTCTCTTTCTCTCCCTCTCCCTTCCTCTCTCTCTAAAAGCAATAAAGAAAAAAAATTAAAAAAAAAAAAAAAGTATCTAATTTACTCCAGTAAAAGCAGCAAATCAAGAAACCAAGGTTTTTAACATTCATGTGTCCAATCTTTCCAATTAAATTGTAACCTTCTTGACAATACACTTGTTCCATAACACTAAGCATGGTAGTTAGCTTTATAACATGTACTCAATGCAAATGTTGAAATATATTATAGGTTTTAACTTTGGATAGAATTCATCTGACAAACAAGCATTTAAGAAGATGCTATACTACAAAATATAAGAAAAGAGACCTCAATCTTAATTGATGTAGGGATCAATTAAGATTGACAAGCATAATGTTCAGGTCTTTGTACAAAGTCTGAGTTAATCCTGATATTGTTATAAAATTAGCATTCACTCCATTTTTCAGTTGAGAAAATCATAACCCAATAGTATACTGGAGTTGCTAAAGATCAACAGTTACATAGCAGAGCAGAATTTGAATCTAGATCAGTCTGATTCCAAAATCCTTCATTTATATCATATTGCTCCACCGATACGAATAAACATACAGTTTACCCTCAAACAGCAAACAATTTAGTGCTCGGAAAGTATAATATCAGGTGCAAAGGGAAGTATGCTTTGAGAACAATATGATGGAACACACAGTGTGAACAATCAAGGTCGCCATGTACAAATGGGACACTGTTCAATATATATGGTTTCTAAAAAGTCTCAAAATATTAATTTTGCAACATATATAGCAAAAAGGGGGAAAAATACCACTATAACATTTTTAGAAAGATGAAATAATTTCTAAAATTATAGTAAAATCTCACCTATGATCAGGTGACACTTCTTTTCAAAAATAAATTAAAAGCACGAAACAATTGCTAATTATATACAGAATCTGCATAATGCAATGAAGGCCTCAAGTGCCTCATCTGAATATTGTAAGAAATTAGGACTACCCTGTAACATGTTCAGTGTTGTATAAAAGACTTTTCAGTTCAAATGACCACTAAAATTTGCTCAATAAATAATTATTCTTTACAATTCAACTTACTTTTTTATATTAATTGAGATAATACCCTCTTCAAGGATATGACAATGTATTTTCTGGAAATTAAGAAGATAGTAAAGTTTTATCTAGTAAGAAACCTCTTCTAAAACACTTAAAACTGATTTCTCAAGTACTTTATTCTCCTAACTTTAGACTCTTTCAGTGATATGATCTGAAAACTTGGCTGAAGTGCATATAGTACATATATTGCAATATTTTTAGGAAATACTAATGAAACAGAGAGCCTGTATTTTTCCACTGGTCCTTCCTATTCTAAAAGTTTACCAGTTTGAGTCTATGGGTTATTTTACGTGGCTATTTTGATTTTGAGTTCACTAACTGGAAGGAGTTGCTTGCTAATAGCTACAAATCCATGTACAGAATCTTGTGTACCTATAGTACACATAAAAGAAAGTGAACAAGTTACAATGTTTTATACAAAATAACTACAAAAAAAAGTGGCTGGGAAGTAGTTTCTGTCATAATTTTAGGTCAAAATCAGTTTAAAAATGACTCACTCACAAAAGCACTATATTATTGCCCTGGCCGGTTTGGCTCAGCGGTTAGAGTGTCGGCCTGCGGTCCCGAGAGACCCGGGTTCGGTTCCCGCTAAGGGCGCGTACCTCAGTTGCAGTTTGTCCCCGGCCCTGGTCGGTTGTGCGGGTGGCAGCCACTCGATGTGTTCCTTTCACATCAATGTTTCTCTCTCTCTCTCTGTTCCTCTCTCTCCCTCCCACTCTACCTGAACAAAAAAATGGAAAAATGTCCTCGGGTGAGGATAAAAAATAAAAATAAAAATAAAAAAACAAAAGCACTATATTATTAAATAGTGCTCTGAATTAGAACAGAGGTAATACAAAGGAAAAAAGGTCTGTATGATGCGAGAAGAATCGCATCTTAGAAAGAAAACCCTGTATAGCAATGAAACTAAATGAGAACAATACAATTTTGTGTTCACTGGAGAATGAAAAAGTGCACAAGAGCTTAGTGAGCACTTACCAACTACTAGGTGCAAAATACTCGGCAGGGTGCTTTATAGTAAACCAGCTCCTTTAATTCTCCCTACAGTCCTTGACAAGGCAGGTGTCAGCATTTCCATTTCACAAAGAAGCAAAGCTTCAGAGGTCAAGGAACTTGACTAAAGTTGTACTGCTTTCAGCTGCCTCCAAAACAGCCTCCTCCTATATATCTCAGTACCTTTTCAGTTGGATTCAAAATTTAAACAAATTGTTTTGATAGCTGCTCCTTAAATAGGACACATGATAATATACCTAGTAATACCTCTCAACCAATAAAAACTAGCATTAAGTTCAGTTTTTTAATCTTCAAGCCTTATAATTTATCTGCGGGGTCTTTTTTTTCTGTCCCAAATTCCTTCCCCTTTCATTTATCAGAGACCATAGACAGAAAATAATTATATTTTTAATGCATATCTATATCTAGATAACACAAGTACTATTAAGGCCGCCTACCATATCTATTCTCCTGCTATAATAATAATAACTCTGTTTTCCAGTTTCAATTTTAATCAGATTTGCTTAACCATCTTTGTTCAAAGAGAGATCTAATGTTTGCTAGATTAAAACTTAGTGATGCTATGGCCAGATTGCTCAATCAGTTGGAGTGCTGTCCTATATACCAAAAGGTTGCGGATTCAATTCCCAGTCAGGGCACATACCCAGGTTACAGGTTCAATCCCCAGTCGGGGCACATATGGGAGGCACCAATGGATGTTTCTCACATCAATGTTTCTCTCTCTCTTCCTTCCTCCCTCTCTAAAATCAATACAAACATATCCTCAGGTAAGCATTAAAAAAAAATCTTAATGATGGGATAGGCCCTGGCCATGTAGCTCAGTTGGTGAGAGCATTGTCCTGATACACAAAGGTTGCAGGTTCGATCTCCAGTCAGGGTACATATAAGAAGCAACCAATGAGTGCACAAATAAGTGGAACAACGAATCTCTCTCTCTCAAATCAATGAATAAAATAAAAATAAATAAATAAATAAATGTTAATGATGGCAATATAATACTAGCCAAAATTACGTCTAAAATATTCTTTTACCATATCCCTATGCTTAGACAAACTATATGAATATCTCAGTTCTGTACAGTACTAATATACTGCCCTGGCTAGTTTGGCTCAGCAGTTAAAAAGCGTCTGCCTGCGGATCAATGAGTCACGGTTTGATTCCAGTCAAGGGCATGTACCTCAATTGCGGTTTGTCCCTGGCCCTGGTCAGGGTCGTGTGGGAAGCAACCAGTCAATGTGTCCCTCTCACATCGATGTTTCTCTCTCCTCTCCCTCTCTCCCTCCCAGTCTATCTGAAGATAAATAGAAAAATATCCTCGAGTGAGAATTAAAAAGAGAAAAAAAATACTAATATACTTATATTTTACTATTATACATGGCATTGTTTTACATAAAATGTTTTACATTTAATTATAGTGATTCATTCATTCCAAAACATTCACTAAGCATTTTAGCAGAAAGCACGTAAAGTGGTGAATAAAATAAAATTCTTGCATTCACTGAGCTTTCAGTCTAACAGGAGAGACACATTGTAAACCAGTAAACAGTAAACAAAACACAAATTACTGAAGGGATTGATCATAATGCTATGACAGAAAATTTAGGGAGCGGCTTACTTGGATTGGTCAGAAATTGTCCTCCTCAAAAGTAACAGTTAAGCAGGGACACGAAGAAGGAGTCAGCCACATAAAAGGCCTAGGGAAGAGCCTTTCAAGCAGCCTGCGGGAGGAGTTGGCTGTGTTTGGGGAACTCAAAGAGAACCAACGTGGCTAAAGCACAGTGAGCAAGCAAGGGTCGGACCACACAGATCTCACAGGTGAATGCAGTGTGGATTTTTCTGAAATGCAACAAAGAGCAACTGAAAAGTTTTAAATACAGGGTGTAAACACAAAGTGATGACAAGACCAATTTATTTTTTTAAAGATCATGTTGGCAGCTGAGGAAAGAACGATGGAAGGGAAACAGGGGAATCGGGAAGACCAATTAGAGACTACTGCAGTACTCTAGACCAGAGATAACAACTTTAACCAAAGTGGTTTCAGTGAATTGGAGAGAATAGATTCTGAAGGTAAAATTTATAGAATTGACTAATAAATTTCAAGTGGAGGGCCAGAGAAAGAGAATAAATAAAAAATAATGATCTAGTTTCTGGTTTAAATTGGAAGGATATGGGTTCCCATGACTGAGATGAGAAAAACTGGAGATTTGAAAAGGAAAGTCGGAAACCTGTATTCTGGACACATCGACATCTGAGATTCTATGAGACCTGCAAGTGATGGTGTCAATCAGGCAGATGGACATTCAAATCTGCAGCTTCAAAAAAAGTCTTATCTAGAGGTAACCCCTTAAAATAAGATATACTTTCAAAGAATCAAATAATATTATTTATAAATTCAAGATACTACGGAAGGAACTGGTTTTCTAGCCAAACAACTGAATCTTAAATATAATTTTAGAAAATAACTGAATTCAGATAAGATCTAAACTCTAGAGATCCAAAGTCCTTACATTCTAATTCAAGGTTGTTCATAATGATTTGAGTCTGATCACAGTAACATCAAAAACCTTAAAGAGTAGCTAAACAAGAAGAAAAGCAAGTCTTGCCCTGGCCAGTTTACCTCAGCGGTTAGAGCATTGGCCTGCAATCCAGAGAGACCTGGGTTCAGTTTCCGCTAAGGGCATGTACCTCGGTTGCAGTTTGTCCCTGGCCCTGGTTGGGTCGTGCGGGTGGCAGCCACTCAATGTGTCCCTTTCACGTCGATGTTTCTCTCTCTCTCTCTCTCTCTTTCTCTCTCTCCCTCCCACTCTATCTGAACAAAAAAAGGAAAAAGTGTCCTTGGGTGAGGATAAAAGAAGAAAAGAAAAGCATGTATTTCAGTGTTAAACACATCTCCAATAAAATGTTATAAAACAGGAAAAATGAACAGCTTTCTGGAGAGCTCTATATTTGAATTTAAGAGCCTAAATAAATATTATAATTCATATAATCTAAAACAAAGAGAATGACCACTAGTGTATTGCGAACTGTTCCTAACTGCAAACTACATTTACATGACAGTGTGGTGGGGGTGGGGGGGTGGTATATGTGTATAATTATTATATTGCTACCTCCATAAGAACTGGGGTACATTTATTACTGTTATCACTAATGCCTAGTATAATGGATGGCAAACAATAAATGCTAACTAAATGTTTGCTTATAAACATAAATGAATCAATGAACAAAATGTATGCTTTAAGAAAATGAACCAAAACAGTACAAAAATAACCTAATGCAGAATTTAATATCTAGCAAAAACGACTCAAGAATTTCTTTTTTTTTTTTTTTTTAAGTTACAACTTCATAGAAAGCAAAGACAGAGCTCAGGACCAAGACATTCTTCAATAGCCTATTGCAGAAAATATTTTTCCTCACGCAGTTAAGTAACAACTACAATGTTATATACTTCATCTCAAAAGACAGCATAGTATTAATGAGAAAACAAGAGAGCCTTAGAAAACATATAGAAGGGTTTGTGTTTGGAAATACAGTACATACACAATATTCTTTATGACAGCTCTGGCAATATTAAGTATCATACCTGCAAGCAAAGTACAATGGAGTAGCTCCTGATACATTTGGCCTGTTAATATCAGCACCACTGTCTAGCAAGCATTGCACTGTCTGGGGAGAAAAGAAACAATTAAAAGTCAAGCCAGAAAAGTCAAAAAGAGACACAATTATCAAAATTTTAATCCATATAAGGAAAGTTCTTGCCACAACTTGAAGCTTTAAAGAATGGGTAAAAACATGACAATTATGATGGCTCAACAATTCAAGTTTGGACAAACTCTGAGTCTCTCAGGCATTACAGAATATATGTGAAATTATCAATATCATATAAACTATGTTAACCTGGGAAGGCTCTAGAAAGCTGATACATGTAGCTACCAAGAACTTTAAATTTGGCTAGTACAACTAAGGAACTGAATTTTAATTTTATTTTAACATCAATTTAAGTTTAAAGAGCCATATACGACTAGTAAATTGGACAGTGCTGCTCTAAATATTTAAATTTAAAAACCAGATACTTTTGCCTCTAAAAAAGAAAAAACAGATCAGAGTTCTCTCTCTCTCTCAAAGTCAAAGAGCATAATTATTAAAGTACAAAATGTTAAAAAGCTAAGAGTCCTATTGCTATTAATAGCAGCCAATACTGAATCAGTTTTTCTGATCATCATTCATATGCACTCTGTCCCCTAAGCTTTACTTCTGCAATCATCTGACTAGTACTAACAAAAAGTAAGCTAATATAAAATCTTAATACAAATGTGATGATTAGTGACTGGGCAAAGCTTGCCTGAAAAACCTTAAAAAGAGATCTTTTCTGGTTGTATTCCTATGATCCTCATTTAAATTTCTCCTGCAGAAAGAAAATGTGCAAAAACTTAGTTTTTGAAATTAGACTGTTTAATATGACTTCTGGATTGAACACACATGTTCATCTTTCTTGTTGCTGTAAAACTTAGTGCAATGGCAGTAAAATAATAAGACTATGAAAACAATGAAGAACAGGAAAGAATACAACAGCATCCTAGATAAATCAATCTGTTTGGGGAAGATAGCAAGCAAGTGGAGGAAGAGTAACTGACTTAGCAGATCAAAGAAAGCTAAAGTCTAAGTGCCTATAAGCAGGGATTCCAACAACAAATCACCATTTCTTGCTGCAGGACACACAGAAAATATAGTATCTGGTAGTACCAAGTGCCATGGAAGATAGGAATAGTTATATAAAGCTAAAAACAGGAGTAGATGAAAGCCTATAAAAGAAACAGTTGGACCTTCCCCAGGACCCTTCTTCCCCATCCCATATAGATACTAACCCTCCTTATACTGTCTCAGAAGTAGGGAGGTTTTTCTTTGGACAGAGTAAATAGGCGGGTTCTGGAATGACAGACAAGAAATACAGGTAAGAGCAGGGATGAGGACCCATGCTGAAAACAACTAATTTATTGAAAACCTCCAGCCTCTACAATGAACTGAGAAATCGAGTATCCAGGCTTAAACGCCAAGCAGGAGGAGACTGAAAGTTTCTTCTCTGGAGACTGGCACCAGAGAAGAGTCCTACAGACACTGGCATTACAGAGCCACTAGTAAAATAGCCTAGTTCTCTCCTAGGGGACATTTGGTAATGCTGGAGATTTTTTTTCTTTTTTATGACTGGGGAAAGGAGAGGGCAATTGGCAACTAGTGGGTAGATGCCAGAGATAAGTCTAAACATCCTACAATCTACAGACAGCCTCCACAACAAAGAATTTTCAAGTTCAAAATATCAACAGTGCCATGATTGAGAAACCTTGGCATACTGTGAAGCCAATCACCAAACCCTGACTATGTACACAATGCTTCCAGCCAATGTTGTAGTGCATTATCACTACACATGAAAGGACAGACAATATTTAAGAGACAATTTGAAGCTAGCCTCTAACACAACAACAAAAATTAAAACAAACAGAAAAAGGAAGTCTGAAAAATAAAGGCAGTAAAGGGAACCGAAGAATACAACAACAAAAATTTAGAAAAGGAACAGATACCCTCAGAAAGAAAAGAAAAATGTATTACGCCCATGGCAAAAGAAGATGATATTAGGAGAAAATTATTCAGAGAATAAAAAAATTAAAAATATGGAGGAACTGCCAGGCTGGTGTGGCTCAGTGGTTGAGCGTTGACCTGTCCCTGGTTCTATTCCCGTCAAGGCACATGCCAGGGTTTCGTGCTCCTTTCCCCATAGGGGGCACGCGGGAGGAAGCCGATTGATGTTGGTGCTTCTCTCTCGTCCATGTTTCTAGCTCTGCTTCCTCTCTCTAAAAAAAAAAAAATCAATGAAAAACATTTTAAAAATATAAAATAAAAATATGGAGGAAGTAAAAATTCAATAGATGTTTAGAAAGACAATGTTGAAAAACTCTACAAGAAAGAAAATAAAGCAAACAGTAAAAAGAAAACAGAAAAATTAGAAAATTAATAGATCAAACGATGGAAACATAGTAGTACACAAATTGAGAATAAAGAAAATAAAGGAGGTAGTAAAAGAGGTAGGAGACCAAAGGAAAGTAATCACGAATACAAAAAAATTCCTCAGAACTAAAGTACATGAGTTGCCAGATCAAGCCCTGGCCAGTGTGGCTCATTTGGTTAGGTGTTGATTCATGCACCAATGGGTGGTGGGTTCAATTCCCGGTCAGGGCACATACCTAGATTGTGGGTTTGATCTCCAGTCAGGGTGCATACGGGAGGCAACCGATATGCTTCACTCTCCCTCTCCCTTCCTCTCAGTCTAAAATAAAAAACAAACAAACAGGGACAAGGTGAGCCTCCGTGCGGCTGGGGGACGTGCATGAGGACCAGGTGACCCATGGCTCTTTCGACTACACCTTGCTGCTGTACCACTCTGACTACCTGGATGACTTTGGCGAGGGCCAATTCGTATTCATGGAGGATGGGGCCAACAAGACGGTGGAGCCCAGAGCAAGTCGGGTGTCCTTCTTCACCTTGGGGTCTGAGAACCTGCACCGTGTGGAGATGCACTGGGGCAACCCGCTACACCATAACCATTACCTTCACCTGCAACCCAGACTACGGCATCACAGAACCAGCCTTCACGTAGCTCGGGCTGCATGGTGCCCTCCAGCTGGAGCACCTCTCCCTCCCACCTCATCCTTTTCCATCGAGCAAGGTGCCTTATGCATCACCTAGATGTTGATTTGCTGATGTTTTAATCATTTTGGCTGTGAGTAAATTAAGGGAACCAGCAAACAAACAAAAAGGCTTACCAAGTACCCAGTCTAATGAATTAAAAGACCTTCAACAAGGAACATCAAAGTGAAATTTCATAATACTGCAGATATTATGATTCAAGAGATAATTAGAAATCAGACTGCCCCTGGCCGGTTTGGCTCAGCGGTTAGAGTGTCGGCCTGCGGTCCAGAGAGACCCGGGTTCGGTTCCCGCTAAGGACACGTACCTCGGTTGCAGTTTGTCCCGGCCCTGGTTGGTCGTGCGGGTGGCAGCCACTCGATGTGTCCCTTTCACGTCGATGTTTCTGTTTCTCTCTCTCTCTCCCTCTCTCTCTTCCTCTCTGTCCCTCCCACTCTATCTGAACAAAACATGGAAAAATGTCCTTGGGTGAGGATAAAAAAAAATAGTAATAAAAAAATAATAATAAAAAAAAGGAAATCAGACTGGCATTAAACTTCTCAACAGCAACACTGGAATCTAAAAGATAAAATGCCTTCAGTACTGTGAGGTAAATAACTTCCAATGCAGAATTCTATAGCTAGCCACCCTATCATTCAAATAACAGTTTTAAATTAAAACCAAACATGCTTATCTGCATAAGATTTCAAAAAATTACCTCCAATGTACCTTTCCTAAGAAGCTACTTGAGGATATCATCCTCCAAAACAAGGGACTACAAAACAGAGTAAGATGTGGAATCCAGAATACTGGAAATCAAACACAGAAGAGACTAGGAGATTTCCAGGTTTAGAGGAAGAAGAATGAAACTGGCCCTGGCCGGTTTGGCTCAGCACTTAGAGTGTCGGCCTGCAGTCCAGAGAGACCCGGGTTCGGTTCCCGCTAAGGGCATGTACCTCGGTTGCAGTTTGTCCCCGGCCCTGGTTGGTCGTGCGGGTGGCAGCCACTTGATGTGTCCCTTTCACGTCGATGTTTCTCTCTCTCTCTCTCTCTCCCTCTCCCTCCCTCCCTCCCACTCTATCTGAACAAAATATCGAAAAAATGTCCCAGGGTGAGGATAAAAAAAAAAGAAGAATGAAACTGACATTATCTAATGACTCTGTCTTTGCAGAAAAGAGTACTGAAGCACCTCTCGGCTTGTATTTTTGTAGAAGTATATAGGAAGAATTACTGATTAAGAAAAAGAAAATTGAGTACAGTCAATTATTAATTTTAAGAAAAATAGTCCCCTAGATAGAAAATGTTATTATAGTTCACTACCTGACCGGCAGTAAACAGTATTTACCTAACTATATATACAACTAATACTATCTAAGCAAAATTTGTGATATACTTAATTTTAGAAATTGGGGAGGAGGGCATGGGAAATGGATTTAAATGAATTAAACCCTCACACACCATAATAAGAACTCAATCAGTGATATCTGAAAGTCATGAGTTGAGAAAGAGCAAGGGAAGCATGTTATTTGTAAATAGATATAAGAAAAGCTAAAAGAGTTGAATATTGTTGCCTGGTGAGCACAACCTGACAAGGAAGACTGATGGTTTAAAGGACTATTCTTTTTAATTACAAAGGTTTTGATGAAAACATTTTAAAAAATACTATTCATATACTGCTACTTGAATTTACTTCTAGCACAAAAGGAATTCTAAAATCTAAATAATCTATGTAATATAATAGAAATATTACATAAAACTTTATTACCAGCTATATAATTCCTTTAAACTGAACACAAGTGGTCTGGCACAGCTTTCAAAGAGAAGAAAAATCAGCATTTGGGTCATTTTATAAGATAAGGCCGATTTGAGCCCCCTTTTTTTTTTAATCCTCACTCAAGGACATTTTGCCATTTTTGTTCAGATAGAGTGGGAGGGAGAGAGAGAGAGAGAAACATCGACATGAAAGGGACACATGGAGTGCCTGCCTCCCACATGACCCTAACCAGGGCTGGGGATGAACTGCAACCAAGGTACGTGCCCTTGACCGGAATCAAACCTGTGACTCACTGGTGTGCGGGCCGACACTCTAATCCCTGAGCCAAACCGGCCAGGGCTATTTGAGCCTTTTGATCATGGCATTCCCCTTTTAGATTTCTGACCTAGAAGTTATATGTATGATCCCAAAACAGCAGATCAATAGCAGTAATAATGTTTACTAACTTAAAGAAATTATAGACAATAAACTAATTCTCAAAAGGCTGAGGAGAGATAAAAGCAAATATAAAATATATAATATGAAGTTAAAACTTAGCAATCCAGAGAGAAGCTGAAATAAACTCGATAATGATGTAATCTTAACCTTAGCATGTGCCTGGACACTGTGCTAATAAGCATTTATCTACTAATAAGCATTTATCATTTCATTAATACATCCTATGAGGAAGTCAATGTCCTCTCCACATTTACAGAGAAGAAGCTGAGTCTCAAAGAGGTCAAATAATGTGCATCCCAACACACAAATAAACAGAGAAGCAAGAATCAAAACCTAAGCCCACGTTCAGAACCACTATTCTATTTTCCCAAAAGTAGAAATTCTAATTTTTCTGAATTCATACTAAATATATTATGACTAATCTAGCATATCTCCATCAGCTATATTCATCACAGATGATCTAATAACTCCCTATTAAATAACTGCCTAGACAGCTATTTGTTTACTTTTCAAACAATGCTAAAACCATGTACTTTTTACAATGCTTCTCTTATTTTTACTGTAGAGCTTAACAGTTTAGCCCTTAAACTAACATATCCCCCTACTGTTCTCTTCAACAAAGTAGTGAGACAAAGTTGAGGCAAATCATAGCAAGAAAGCATCATATGTTCCTATCATACCCTTGTGCATAGGAAATATTCTACAAACACAGAAATTCTTTCTGTTTTTATGAGAAAAAACACTTAAGAAAGTGGAAACAGCTCATTCCATCACTCTTTCCCTTTATAAATCTTTCTGCTTTTCTGTTTTAACAAATCATCCCAATTAAGATCCTCAAAATATTCAACTACTAAAAAAAACAAAACATATTTTTAAAATTTTTCAATAGCTTCAATGTTACCTGAAGAGAAATGGGGAGAAAAACCCATTTCTCTCATAGTAAAGCTAAAAAAAAAAACATATGAATGTGACGAATAAAGAATCACCTTGCAGCACTGAAATGAGTGAAAAGTCATCTCTCTTTGTGATTAAAAAAAGTTTGCTTGCAGATTTCTTTTTGTAAAACCTCTGAAACAGGAGCAGAAAGTCTAATGTAGAATTCAAGTATCGATTAAATGAAGTAATGGGGAGATTCCAAAATGGCAGCGGAGTGAATGGAAGCTACACAGACCATCTGCCAGGACCAAACTGGAATTACAAGTAAAATAAAGACAAATCATCGGAAAAAGCAACAGGAAAGCAGCTTGCGAGGACCATATAACCAGGGACGACACTGACTCGATCCTGATAGGATTGCGGCTGCATGAGAGGGGGGCTGGGAGCCCACAGACAGCAGGGGCCTTAGCTGTGAGCAGTGCCCTCAGGGTTACACTCCCAAGTGGCTCCAGAGTGCAGATCCGGGACAGACGCTAAAATAGCCACAGCCACTCACCTTGAGCTCCGCCAAAGGGAGAGTGAACTGGACTGGAAGTGTGTGGGGACACTCAGGAGAGTGCTCAGAGCCTTTGCTGAATATTAGTCACGCAGGTCAGTGGTCATCTTACTCCTTCCCAGGGCTCTGGGGAGAGACCCTGGCCCCTCCCTCAGAGATTCAACTCAAACTTTGGGCCATTGAAATGCAACTCAAGGCTCATTAACAACCACCACCTACCCCACCCTCGGGAATTCCCCTTACAGCTGAACACCTGAAGGCGTTGTTTTTTTTTTTTTAATCCTCACCGGAGGACATTTTTCAATATTTTGTTCAGATAGAGTGGGTGGAAGAGGGAGAGAGAGAAACATCTATGTAAAAGGGACACATCGAGTGGCTGCCATCCGCACGACCCAACCAGGGCCGGGACAAACTGCAACCGAGGTACGTGCCCTTAGCGGGAACCAAACCCGGGTCTCTCCGGACAGCAGGCTGACGCTCTAACCACTGACAAAACCAGCCAGGGCCTGAAGATGTTCTTCATTCAACTGAGAACCCAAGGCTCTTCAACTAATAGCCTCCAGGCAAAAAGCTAGAGAATAACTGAACCATTCCTGAGCTTGCAACTCTGCCCAGAAAAGTAAGACTTGACAGTGGTGTTTAACGTGGGTCCTCACAAGCTCATCCAAACCCAGGAGAGGGAGCCACAAACAGCAGAACACCAACACCCACAGGGAAAATTAGGCAGGCTACAAAACCCACTGAGATAGCCAAAAAGGTTGAAAAAAGAAACAAATGCCAAATGAAAGAACAAGAGACCTCTACTGAAGATGAGATAAATGAGGAGCAGTAGAGCAGGTTAACAGAGCTGGAATTCAGACCCATGATCTTGAGGAAGCTCAACAGCATTAGTAAGGACAACAACACCATGAGTAAAGCCATAGAAATGTTGAAAATCAACCAACT